ACAGCTTGTGAAAAATCAAAGAATCCCTGCTCCTCCTTCCACCACCAGCTTGTGTGACTTCTGTCCTGGGCAGGCAAGGTGGGGGGGGGGGCTGAATTCTTACTTCCTATGAATTCTGTCACCTCCTGCTCTTTGGTGGTGCTCATCATGATGTGACCCAATTCCTGTCTTTGGTTTATTTCCGTTCTTCAAAGAAGTTGAAAAGTGTTGCTGTGCAGAAAACAACGAAAGTTTGGAGCGATGAAGAGTAACATATAAATAATCTAATACTAAATAGGCATTCTTGTTCTTAAGAGTAATTTGACTTGTGTTTTGGTTGTGGGTTTTTTGTTTTGTTTTCAAGACAGGGTTTCTCTGTGTAGCTCTGGCTGTCCTAGAACTCTCTGTAGACCAGGCTGTCTTTGAACTCAAAGATCTACCTTCCCTTGCCTCTGGAGTGCTGGGATTAAAGGCATGTGCCAGCACCGAATTTGACTTTTAAAGACTCTGATTTTATTTCTTCTTAGGCTGTAGCCTTGCTGGCTCAATCCATCAGAACCCTGTTTTCCCATTTCCAACCTTATTCATTTGATGTAGGGCAGTTTAGCTCTCTCTCTCTCTCTCTCTCTCTCTCTCTCTCTCTCTCTCTCTCTCTCTCTCTCTCTGTGTGTGTGTGTGTGTGTAGGGGGGAGGTTATTACTTGTTTCTTTGATTGATTGTAAGCATCCTTAGATCACTAAGTAATTTCTTAAACAAATGCAGTCTCTCCCCTGAGAAAAATTTTGGAGTGAGTTGTTTAAAAAGTAAAACTGGGGGCTGGATTCAGTCGTTAAGAACACTTGTTCTTGCAGAAGGCGTGGGTTCAAATTCCAGTACCCACTTGGTAGTTCACAACCATCTGTAACTCCTCTTCTGGGAGATCCAATGCTTTCTTCTGGCCTCCATATACCAGGCATGTGATACACACAGGCAAATTTTCATACACATGACATATAATAAATAAATCTAAAAATAAAGTAAGACTTCCACCTTGATGAAGGTGATATTGTAGGAAAAATCAGGAAAGATGTAATAGAAGTGGAAATAGAGTTGGGCCTTGGAAAGTGGGGGCCGCATGGCCAGTGAGGGCCACATGGCTGGTGATGGGAGGTGGGGAGGAATGCCATGTCTACTCAGATGGAGAGGACTTGGGCAAAACTAATAATTTGTATTTGTAAGTAGTGGGGGAAGAAGAATTTGGATATGGGTAAAATAGAAAGAGCTATGAGGGGATAATTCCATAGTAAGAGAAGCCTAATCCCATAGTAAGAGTTGTCTGAGAAGTTTTAGTAGCGAAGTCTAATATGTTAGAGATTTTATGACTTGGGGAGGTCAACTTTTATTTCCCATTTCTTTTTTTTTCTTTTCTTCTTCTTCTTCCTTTTTTTTTTTTTTTTTTTTTTTTTTTTTTTTTTGCTATGGAGTTTCATTGCATAGTCCATGTTGATCTGTTGATCTTACACTCACAGTTCTCTTGTCTTAACCTTCTGAGTGCTGAGCTTACAGGGATAAATTCCCATGACCAATCATCTGGAAGGTTCTTCTCCATGGCATCATCCCACCTAGTAAACATGGTGGAATTAGAGGGATCTCCATCAACTGCCACTGCAGCAAGCAGTTGCTTCAGGTGAGAATCAGAAATAATTACCAAAAGTTCTGTGTGAATGTATAAGAAGTAGGGAATTTTAAGATTTCAAGATATAGAATTACAAAGGAACAAACATTCACCTTGGAGAAGCTTGGTACAGATCACCTTAGGTAAGTGAGCTAAGGTAGCACTGCCAACAGTAGGATAGATTGATTTCAGTGCCCTCCGACATGCCAGGGTGAGGAGGACTCCCAGTATCCTGCTAAAACCACAACCTGACTCTACTCATGAAGAAACATTAGATAAATGCAAACTTGCGTGTTCTGCAGAGTAACTGGCCCCACCCTCCAAAGCTGTCAAGACTATAACAGATAAAGGGAGGAGGACTATTCCAGGTTGCAGACAGATGAATGCCATGAATTATTCTGGGTTGGGTCCTGGGACAAAAAATAACCAAAAACCAAAACCCGAAACAACAAAAATAAAACAAACCCAACATTTTTTTTTTTTTTTTTTTTTTTTGGTATAAAGGACATTAGAGATCTGCTTTGAACGCAATCTGTAAGCCAAGCAATCAACAGAATTATGTCAGTATCAATTCCTGCTCTCTATTATCATGTGTAAGTATGGAAGAGTATATTTCTTCTTTGGGGGAAATTACCGTGCACTGAAGTTATTTAGGATGAAGAAGCTAAAAAGGGTAGATGGAAATTCTTTAGAATGTTTGCTATTTTCCTCTAAGTCTGAAATAACTATAAGATAAAGTAGTTTTGTTCATGCAAGCAATGACTTGCAGCCTCCTCTGCTGTTATACTTTCTCTGGTTGCCTTGGATGAGAGATGGTTCTGCAGAGCACTGGAATGGTAGCTCCCTGTCTAAACTACCCTTTGTTCTGTTGTGAAAGAGGAATCCTTCTCCATCTTGTTCAGCTACTGCAATAGGGTGCCAAGGAACTTTTTTCACTGATTTGGTTATATCTACGGAAGGTGTAGAAAGTAAAGTAGTGTGGAGAGTAGACTAGGACTACTCCTGAGGGGAGAACAGGCAAAAGGAGGAGCTCCTGTTGGCAGCTTGCAAAGTTAAGAAGCAAAGAAAAAGGTCCAAGTGGGGAAGATAAAAAGAGCTGGGGAGCTTCCTGGCCATTTGCAGGTTCACCACACTGGTGACTGTTCGGTCCTACTTCCTGGGGCAGATAGAAGAACTGTTTGTGGTTGTACATGAAGAAGATAGGGAACGATGGAAACACCTGGGCTGAGATGGAGATTATCAAAGCATATTCAGTGGGATGTACAAAAATCAAAAGGGATAATAATCATAGCAACAACAACAGCTGATACTTGGTCATCGTCTCGTCCTTTAGACTATGATCTGATGTGTTTCACCATGTTCAATCTGCATAATACATGTAATGCTCCTATTTCAGAGAGGAGTAAAATGATGCACGAAGAGGTTAAGCCAAAGGGCACCCTCAATTTACAGGCACAAGATTCAGAATCAAGCAGTCTGACTCTGGGCTCATCTCTAAACTGAAACCAAGGTGAATTTTGAGTGACCCCTTTAGACTGAACCAATTCCACTCACTTTTGGTTACTAGCTTTTATGACCACTTTTAGAGATCATATTGTATCCACCAGCTTTGATGTAGATGACCTCTGCTCTGTGAGTCACAAGTGAAAAACCATGCTTAAGTTTTTTTATTTTGGAATTTGGAGGTCATTCTTGCTACCTCAAATCAATTGAAACTACTGACCTTTCCACCCAGGCCTGTGTGAAGTGTAAGACCCTTGATGTCCACTTTTTGATCCTGCTAGTACCATTGTTTCCTAGACACATGTCCTGTGAAGAGCTAGGATGATGACTGGTTGTGCATATGCTGGCCCCTGATTCTTCACCTCTACTACCTTTCCCTGTGCCTCTTAAGAACCCTGCTTCCTTCCTTCCTTCCTTCCTTCCTTCCTTCCTTCCTTCCTTCCCACTCCCCCTCCCTCCCTCTCTTCCTTCCTCCCTCCCTCCCTCTCTTTCTTTCTTTTTCAAGACAGGGTTTTCCTGTTGTAGCTTTGCAGGCTGTCATAGCACTAGCTCTTATAGATCAGGTTGGTCTGGAACTCACAGAGATCCTCTTGCCTCTGCCTCCCGAGTGCTGGGATTAAAGGCCTGTGCAACCACCATCCGACTTGGCAACCTTACTCCTTTTTCCCCGAGGTATCACTGAATCCTATTTCCAGGGATTTGAGGCTTCCTTTTACACCCTCATCTTTAGCTACTGCATTCGCTGTCTTCTCCCTTCTATGACAAAATACCTGATAGATGGAACCTGAGGGAGGATGAGTTCATTTCACCTCACAGTTTATGTGAAGTCCTTCATGGCAAGAGAGGTATGGTAGCATGGAGTCTGGCCATGTGATCAGGAAGCAGAGACAGACAAATCTGTTGTTCTTTCTTTTTTCATTCAATCTGGGATCCATGGGATGGTGCCACTCACGGTCAGGGTGGGCCTTCCCTCCTCAGTTAAACCTCTGGAGACACCCTCACATTTACACTTAGAAGTCTGTCTCCAGGGTGACTCTAAATCCCATCAAGATTAAGCATCACAATTGACTTATGCTCAAACCCTTTCTCTTTTGAAAACCATTGTTTTGGTATAGATCCTCTGTCCTTACTTGTCTCTTTCCCTCTAGCAGTCTTTGACAGTGGTGCAGATGCCATGGGCTCCTTCCATTGTGTTGTGGGTCTGCCCTCCAGAATCTGCTTTGGGCAGGACCAGGGAGGACTGGTAGGGGAGGATGAAGCAGGTCGGCCTGTGACCCACAGGACTGCCACAGGAGGATGAAAGTCTGTATGTGGCAAGAGAAAACTGTGGCTGGGAAAGGTGACACTCTCCTTCCTTGGTTAGAGTTCCCATGTAGCCAGTGTGTGGGAGGCGCCTGGGAAGGTGTGCCACAGACCGGACCCCAAAGCCTGGGGTCTGATCTTGTCCTCAGCCCTCTTCTGAGTCCTGCCTCTCACAGGTGTGAGGTGATGGAGGAGTGGGGTTAAATTGGGGTCCAACCATGAAGGTTTCTGCTGTCTTCTTTTTACGCTAAAGTATTTTCCTTATTTTAAAAGTAGTAGGCAGTAAATTCTAGAATGCCTGAAAAACGGAAAAGACTTAATAAATATACTTTCAAACCCGAGACTCAGCTCCTGGCCAGGAGACATGCAAACTTTTTAATATCCTTGTTCTGCATCTGCTTAAATGGAAACAGCCCCTGGTATTTTTAGCTGCTGTGTAATCAAAGTAAGAAGGAAAGGGGGATGTATATTTTTTTTTTTTCCTCTCCTAGTTAGAATAGGAGAATGAATTGCTCAATCCTTAACAGAGTCGTGGAAAGGAGGAAAATCCCGGAGTCCCCACTGATTGGCTCCTCCTCTGTCCTAGCCATGATTTAAACCCAGGGAGGGAAGAAGAGAGAGGAGAAATCGAGGGACAGATCAGCATTGAGGTCTGCAGTACCCGGACCAGCTCAGAGGAGGCAGGAGGGTTGGAAGTGGTGTCCTACAACCTCCCAGGTAAGATAGACAGCAACAGAAGCTTATCAATGATTGGGATGGCTATAGGCTGAAGGGTACTGCTGAAAATCCAGGTAAGGCAATACAGATTGAGTTTAAAAAATACCTCCCAGGACCTGTTAATCATGTCCTCAGTATTAGATTCCGTCCTCCCCATGCCAGGAGGTACCATTCCCTTACCTGTCAAGTGCAGAGTCTGGGCACCAGATTCTACCTGGAACAGTACATTTTAGATGAAATGTTTTCTAAGTTTATTCATGTTTCTTCTTGCCAAGACCTCTTCTTTCTGTGTAATCTCTTATGTGTTATAGCTCATTGTTCTCTTAAAACAGAATTTTTGTTTCAGTTGTGATTAGGAAACTATTATAACTTTTCCATCTGAGATTTCATGTGAACCATTGAAGAGGCTGTTTGTGGACTCACACAAAGGGTCTCATTTAGTCATATGTGTTTTAATTATTATTTGTGAAAGGAGAATTTCTTTCCCCTCAACTCTCATATAGGTGTCTTCATAGTGCCCCAAAGCAGGCATTTTGAAAACTCCAAGAATGATGTGGTAGACTAATTTTGGGAGATATGACATTTTATTTATAATTTTTGAGGGTGGGAGAGGACTGGGATAGGAGGGAGGGAGGAAGACCGAGTGACAAAAGACATTCCTAAGGGTGAGATTTGCTTATATAAGCATTAATAGAAGAATAAGCTCAACATAAAAATAACCGATTATCCACGTCTGACACAGGTAAGCCATAGCTCTGCATCTGTTTCAGACTCAGAGTGAAGGTGACAGGGTCAAGAGAAGAGATACAGGAGGAGATAGAGAGCATTAAATGCTGGTGCCATCCCCAGAAACCAAGGGAAAATAGCACCTGGCTTTTTTTTTCATGCTACTTTGAATTTTTTTAATGTCTCTAAGGGTGTTGATTCACAAAGCAAGGAAACTAGGGCAGATTATTTCCAGCCCATCTTGTGGCTTTTGGCTTCCACTCCAGTGCCGTGGTTTGACATGTAGGGCAGGGCAGCTCTTTTCTGAGATGGGGCCTGAGGAAATCATGCCCAGGCCCATGGAAACTCCATGGCTCACTCCAGATCCCAGGCTCCCATAGGATCTGGCTGCAGACATGAGGTCATGGTTTAAGTTCTGTTGGAGCATTTGGAACCACCAGTCTGTGAGCGGATGGTGCTGTGGTATCAGGCCTGATTCCTATGGTCAGCAGCTTGGCCTGGTTCCACCACAGAGGACTCAGGCAGATGCCAACCAGCTGCTATCTAAAAATGTGCACAGCCAATGTGGGTAGAATAGCATAGATTCTTGGAAATTAGCATTGCCTTCAGCTTAATGGAAGGTCGAAACTTTAAAGTTGTTTCAGTGTGTGGAAAAACATATGGAACTGAGGAGAAAAACTGTAACTTTTCACTAGGTATTATTAGCATTCACCTGAAGCACAAGTATCACCAGATGCCCATCACCACCATGGAGAATAGGGATAATTATAGATCAGCTAACTAACACTGTATTATTATGGGAGCTGGATTGGTAAAAGCAGGTTCCCGAAATTAGATCTCCTGTCCATTTTATTTTTCCATTGTGAATGAAACTGTTCCATGGAAACTAATGGAAAGCCTTCCTGTGAGAAATTAATCCATTCGCATAGGCATAAATGACTGTTTTTGCCCATTGTTCACAGACAATGTTTAAAGCTCTTAGCATAGAGACTGGTGTATGAGGAGTATTTAGAAAATGGAGCTACTGTCATCATCATTCATTGGACCCTCTGCAAAAGGCAGATATATATCTTATTGAAACTCCTGAAAAAGCAATTGAGCTCCAGGGATAGGCTGGGTGTATCATCCACTGTCTTTTCTGTCCTGGGTGGGTAGGAAACATATAGATACAGGGTTGTTGTATAAGGCACGAGAGCCCTTACAAACACTTCCTGGGCACTCATTAGGTGGACCAGCTGAACTAGGAGCACAGGGGCACACATCTGGAATGTGATATTGTATAAAGCCATTCCTTTCTCTTTTTTTTTGAGACAGGGTTTTTCTGTATTGCTTTGGAGCCTGTCCTGGAACTAGCTCTGTAGACCAGGTTGGCCTTGAACTCACAGAGATCTGCCTGCCTCTGCCTCCTGAGTGCTGTGATTAAAGGTGTGTGCCACCAACGCCCAGTCCACATCTTTATTCTTGACTGCTGTTTCATCCTGTATGGGATGCTTGTTCAGAGAATCCAGAGTCAGGGATTAAAAACATTTGTATGAATTTGGCTCAACAGGAGGCTGGCCTACAAGAAACAGCACTGCCTCATATTCTAGATTCTCTTGCATACTGAAGAATGGGAAATGGGGACATTGGTTGTCTGAGGTCTCATGTCTAGAATGGGTCATGCCACAGTAGGTTGTTCATCTCCCTGAGAACTTGATTTCCTAGACCACATACTCTTGTCACAAGACTCAGAACCACTCAGGGTCCAGGCTGTAGAACACTAGAAACTAGGCTCAAGAAGATCAGAGAGAGGAGTGAAGCTTGCCAATGACATTTGTAACATCAGGGTGTCCTTAGCCACCCACTCCTTCGTTTTCCTTCATAGTTCATGCGGTCCACCCTATTATTTGGGGAGAGAATATCTTCTTAGTGACTCTACTGGAAATCCATGATAATACAGCTTTTCTAGACCCAAAGCAGTGGACTCATTTGCTTGTGGTTAACCGTTAGGCAGAATGAGGTCATGCAGAAGCAGAGAAAGCCCTGAATTTAAGTACGGAGCTCTTTGCCAGTAGCTAGAATCTGACATGTTCTTATTTGATGTAAGTAGTACTTTTTTCCTGACTCAGAGTATGTGTCTTTCTTTGGAGAGAATGAGGTGACACATAGGCCATTCAACCCTAACATGAAAAGACCTTGGTAACTGAAAGGCCCTTCTCTCCTGCTAAGACTTGGTTGACATGAGCCCAGTGGATAGAGGTCTTGGTATCCTCTACTGTTTTCTACCTTCTTGTGGGAAGTGGTGGGACCTAAGCTCACTGCGAGGGAAACACAATTCATCTTTCTATGCATCAGCTTGTACTGGTTACAGGCCAAGCAGGCTCAGGCTTCTGTTACTGATTTATTGATGTTTTGCTGAATACCTGGTATATCTTGGCTTCCTTTCCATTCAGAGCCCCTCTCTTGAAGGAAATATGGCAGGAAAGAGGATATTTGGTGTTTTTCTTTCCACATCTACAATATATATTGCAGAAAGATGAAGAATCCAGACATGAGGAGTGGATAGACCTGGTGTGTGATCCCAGCTCTGATGCTTGACTGCTTGTATGACCTGACAATTTTTTTTTAACATTTTGAGTGCTTATTACAAAGAATATTGTTGATTGACTATTGCCCTTTTGAGCATCAATTAAAGCAAATGTTTTAAAATTGTTTGGCCCAGTACCCCCCCTAGTAAACACACACACAAATCTAGTGTCCCTTATTATCTAATTTGTAAAATATTTGGCAGATGCTATGCTGTGTGACTAGGAAAACAGGAGGGACTTGTATTGTCCTAACAATTGCCATCCCTGGCCTGGGAATAGACTTTCAGACTTGGACATGGTACATTTGGGCTAGAAATTAAAGCCACGGGAGTAGCTGCAGCTACCAAGAAGAAAGAGCATGCGAACATAGAACCCTGTGACTTCAGTGGGTCTCAAGGCAGATCCAGGGAACCATCCATCTAGGTCATGGTGAGCAGTAACCCCTGTAAAAGACCTTCTCAGGATGGCCACAGAGCAGCATTTACTCCTACCTCTGTCTCTTATCTTCTTATACCACTTAATGCCCCTCCCACAATGATGCTCAGCTTCAATGAGACAGTAGTTCCTGGGGGACCTCTGGTTTCCATGGTTTCCTGTGTACAAATGCCCATTGTTTCATGAATTCCCCCTGCATCATATATTGTTTTTCTTAGTGACATTTGGTATCCCCCCTCACCCCACACTGCAAGCTGTCTCTGGTGTGCTATGCATATTAATACAGAGGGTGAAGTCATGCCTTCCTCATGCTGTTCAGCAAGGGAAGGCTCTCTCCTGCCACTCCTTGGAGCCAGAGCCAACAGCTTCCCTTCTTGCTCACACTTGACAGTGTTAGATTGAGGGTTTCCCCTGACCATCTTCTTTCGAGCAATCACTCTGCCCAGGAAAATCTGAGCTCAACATGTGCAATATGAGAGGCTGTGATTAGCAAGGACATCTTGTTACAATTTAGGACAGGCGACACAGAAGGCTCCTGCAAGAGCTTCTGGGGTTTCTCATGTTCCAGGCTTCAAAAACAAACACTGTGAGATGGGGTTTTTGGACAGCCTTGCTGTGGTTTATGGCAGGAGATCCCCCCCCCTTTTTTTTGGTCAGGAACATCTTCAGAAAAAAATTAAAACATCTGCATTCCATTTAGGGCTCAGAAGTAGTGAACATTAGGCTGGGGGGTGGTGGTGGTACTGGATGATAGGAGTGAGCAGAGATGTTGGTTTAGTTGGCTCTGCGGTTGTCCAGAGGGGATTTTGGATAGCATAGATGTCTTACTACATCCATAGTAGAGGCTTGCATGAGCACAGGGCACACAAAAGTGCAGGCTCCATTGCTCACTGGGTCTAAATCATGGCCTTGCACTTAGTGGTCATATAATCAGCAACAAGTTGTTATGGTCCTTACTCCTCAGCTTCCAGCTTGAGACTTAAGTAGACAGTTTGTATTTGGTTGCTTTATCACTGGGATGAACTTTTGAATAAATCTCTGTTCTGTATTTCTAATCCACACTTATCTTCCAACTCATCTTGTTAGCTCTCCCAATTCCATCTTCTCGCAGAAGTCTCAAGCAGATTCCCAAGCTTCTCTTGAATTGGTATTAAATCACTTTCATGAACTCACATCCTTTTTCTTGTCAGAGCCTCAGTCTCCTCCAGTCTGTGGCTTTTCTTCATTCCCACCTCAGGTTGCTGGTATCCACACAGTGTGAGTGTCTGAGTGTGTGAGTGTGTATGTATGTACCTGGATTTTGTTCATCCTCTTCTCACAACTTGTACTACTGTTCTGGCTTTCCTAAGTTGCTTTCTGAACTGTGGTGTGATGTGGGGAATGGAATGCTAAATGTCTACAGTACTGGACCCACACTCCTTTGCAGGAACTGCTTGTGAATGCTTTAGAGACTCCCCTTTTGCCCTGCTGGCATGTCCTGATGAGCCTTGGGGCCATGTCTCAGCTGCAGCCCCAGTTGCTCTGTTGGGGGGCTTTAATGAGCCTTGCTCTATAACATCAGCCTGACCACACCAACCTCCAGGATGGCAATTTTGTGGAGCTCCACCCACAGCTCTGACAAGGGCCAGTCCCTACATTGCTCCTGGCTCATCAGGTATCCATCTCTTTTCCTGCCACACCCTTCCATTCATCCTGGTTTCACCAACCCTCAATAGATGCTTGTTACGTATGTATTAATGGAATCCTGACAGTAAGAGATGTCTTCTGATCATTCCATTCCATCTGGAGAGTGTTCCAGTGCCTCAAATTCAGAAAGACCTTGGAACAGGTGAGCTATTTTCACTGCTATTAATAACACATGCCTCCAATGACAGGCAACGCTAAGAACTGAGTATCACAAATGAATAACATGAAGATCTCTCTCTTGCAAAATAACTAAATGAATATGAAATCCCCAACACACAAAGTAGCTAAGGTTTAAAGCTATGGAAGTGCTTATTACCCTGATTTGATCATTACACACTGTACACATGTGTTGGATTAGCACACTGTGCCCCACAAAGTACAAATATAGCAAAAGAACACCAGTTTGGTACCATTCTGGTTAGTTTTCTGTGGCGACAGCTCCCTTCAGTATAAAGAACAGTACATTTGATCAAATGGGGGAATTGCATGTGGGCAAAAGTATTTACATCAGCACTGCATATGAGTGTACTTTAGCTGGGGTGAGGGAGGCCAATAGAGAAGGCCTGAGGATAGGTGATCTTTCTTATTAGAAATCCTTATTCTCTATAGGTTCATGTGTGGGAGTCTTGAGCAGAGTCTTGGTGGCTGTGGCCATGGGTCTGAGCACTGTCTGCCCTTCCTGGCTGTGGTACCCAGGACAACTTGCTCAACCTCTCCACCATCTACCTCCTATTATTGGAGCACTAAAGCATGGCATGATGGTGAGCATGGATCTGAGAATCAGATTGCTCTGCTTCAGATCCTCCTTCGGCATATGTAACCTAGTGATAAGAACTCACACAGTAAGCAAAATATCCTCCCCTAAGTATTGAAAGAAAAAAAACCCCATGACTCTTAGTTGTGTGCTTGCAATTGTGCTTCAGCTCCCTGTCTATAAATGTGTGTGTGTATTTATGTATGATCTATATCTATCTAATCTACATCTCTCTCTCTTTCTCTGTCTCTCTCTCTACATATCATTTTAGTTCAGTATGAGGGCACTTGCCTAGCATGTGCAAGGTCAAGCTCAGTTCTAAGACATGTGAAAGAAGTAATGGGGTTAACGATAGGATTGTTGTGATGACTGAATGCGTTAGTAAATGTGAATGCTCTAAATAGTTCCTATTGCATAGCAAGCGTTCTATGTGCAGCTATTACTGTTGATCGAAGAGGTGGTCAGTTTTCAGGCTGCTATGAACAGTAGGGGTTAGAGTGCTGAAAGGTTGGCTTGGGTGAATTTGAACAGAGTGTCATCTCAGAATCTGCTAAAAGGGGTGCTTTCCCCCCAGCAAGCCTCATGACTTCCCTTGTGTTCCCCTCCTGGATCTAGGCCTCCTGGAGTGTCTGATCCCTTTCTCCAAGAATGAGTCTCTGGGGGATCTTTACCTTCCCCCTGGGGCTCCTGCTTGCTTCTGTGCTCCTGGTAGCTTCAGCCCCAGCCACTCCGGAGTCTCCTGGCTGCAGCGACAAGGAGCAACAGGTCACTGTCAGCCACACCTACAAGATTGATGTGCCCAAGTCGGCTCTGGTTCAAGTAGAAGCTGACCCACAGTCCCTCAGTGATGATGGGACATCACTCTTGGCAGCTGGGGAGGCTGGGGAGGAGCAAAACATCATCTTCAGGCACAACATCCGTCTTCAGACACCACAGAAGAACTGTGACTTGGCAGACAGTGTCCAGGATCTGCTGGCCCGGGTGAAGAAACTGGAGGAAGAGATGGCAGAGTTGAAGGAGAAGTGTAGTGCCAACCGCTGCTGCCAGGGAGTTACTGGTGAGATCACCACCCGGTGTTCACTGTAAACATTAGTGAGTGCCTGCTATGTGCCAGGTGCTGCTCTAGCCTCATGGGCACTGTGAAGTCCTGGTGTAGGCCTCTCTCACAGTCAGCTTTTCTCGGGATGCAGGCCATACTGTGCTGTTTATTCACTGATACAGCTCAAGGGGGCATGTGGAAGCCTAGGCAGGGAGGGTTCAGCAAGCTGGCCCCCTGGGTTAATGACACTAGAGGGGAAAGATCTCAGGGCTGCCTTACTGACAGGGCCAATTGCTATTCAAGGGGTAAGTACAGAAAAGAGAGGAAGTATAAGAAAGAGAGGAAGGGAGCTGAATGCTGTGTTGAGAAATTTCTTCAACTGTCCAATGAGGCTGATTTATCAGCTAGCACAGTTCTAAGACTAGAAAGTGTGCATTTGTGTCTTGGCCCTTAGAAAGTAGTCAGCCAACTAAACATTTTATTACTAATAAAGTACACTGTAGTTTTTTGTTTTTGTTTTCACAAAGAATGACCTTTTTCTTGGCCTCATGTTTTAAGAACATAAGCTGCCCAGTGACAGTGAATGGTAGTTTTTATTGTTTTTGGTTAAGAGCACCCCCTAAATGCCAGCTAGAAAACTAGAAACCAGGGACACACCATGTGAAGAAAGCAGCATGGTAACCGCCCCTCCCCAACCAGGAGCCCCACTTTGGAAGTTTCCTTGAGAAGGGAAGTCAACATTCCAAGAAGCAAAAGCTACTGCACTGACTAGCCTGACCTCTAGCTTTCCCTAGCTGTGAAGGAGGGCCCTGGCCAAGTGCCTAGACTCACCCATCATTGGGCCTGGGTTATATTGCAGTTTCTTGTAGAATCGATTCACAACCAGTCTCCTGGGTTCAGTTCCATTCACCAGTATTTGAAGCCCTGCCCCTTGGGGTTAGAGCTGGACCACCAATGTGGACCACTTAAAGTCCCTTTATGGAAAAACACTAGTCACCACCATTCAGAGAAGAAGGACCCCAGTGAATTCACCCGAGAAGCAGCTTTTTAGGCAAACAAAAGAGAAACTGAGACTTGGCTTTAGTGGAAAGCCTTTTCCTCACAAAGCCCCCACAAGATTCAGAAAATGTCAGCCATCTCTAACCAGTTACCTCTATTCACCACCCGTTTCTCCCTTCCTGGCAGATCTGAGCCGCCACTGCAGTGGCCATGGGACCTTCTTCCCAGAGACTTGCAGCTGCCACTGTGATCAGGGCTGGGAAGGCGCCGACTGTGAGCTGCCCACCTGTCCTGGGGCTTGCAGCGGCCACGGGCGCTGCGTGGACGGGAGCTGCGTATGTGACCAACCCTATGTGGGGGTCGATTGCGCCTATGCCTCCTGCCCCCAGGACTGCAGTGGGCATGGTGTGTGTGTGCATGGCGTCTGCCAGTGCTATGAGGACTTCACGGCGGAGGATTGCAGCGAGCAGCGCTGTCCAAATGATTGCAGTGGTCATGGCTTCTGTGACACCGGCGAGTGTTACTGCGAGTTGGGCTTTACTGGCCCTGACTGCTCCCAGGGTAAGAGTTGGAGAAACGCTTTGAGGCCACACTTCCCATCATCCATGGTCTCAGTTGCAATAAATCTATTACATATCTTACTTGGGAGTCTTGCCCTTTACCTAAATAAAGATCCCCGTGGAGGGCTTAACAATAGAGTTGGTCGGTGGGGAAGGGGCTCCCCAGGTCCCACCCCTACTTGAGGGGCTTATACAATTGATGGCTGCTGGGTGCAGTTTCTAGTAGGCTGATGAGCACCACGTCCGAGTGTATACAGGAAGCACTAACTGGACTCAGAAAGAGGGGAGGGGTGGAGACCGGAAGAGGAAAGAGGAGAGGGAGGGACGTGAAGGTGGGAAGGGAATTGTTGAGGGGGAGGAAGTGAGGGATAGATATGTTCAAGATACCATGTATGTATGTATGAAATTTTCAACGAGTTAAACAAAAAAGAATAAAGTGTTGGGCCCACTGCCAGAGCTTGTCACATAGAAGTTCTGGGAGAGGTCTGAGAATATGCATTTGCCCAAATTCCCCAGGGGCTGCTCCTTGTGGTGGTGGTGGTGGTGCTGGTGCTGGTGGTGTGCAACCCGACAGTAACTTCCTGGGGAATGGTTTCAAGAATGTGTGATACTTGGTCTGCATCCTGCAGGCCCTACTGCCACAGCCTCAGATGAGCAGTAGGTGTCAGTGAATATTCACTCCACTTGGCACCAAGTATCACCCTCTCCACCTTCACCTCTTGTTCCTTTTCTGCCTGCAGTGGTGGCTCCTCAGGGCCTGCAGCTTCTCAAGAGCACAGAGAACAGCCTGCTGGTGAGCTGGGAGCCCTCCAGTGAGGTGGACCACTACCTGCTCAGCTACTATCCCCTGGGGAAGGAGCAGGATACAAAGCAGGTCCAGGTGCCCAAGGAACAGCATATCTATGACATCACTGGCTTGCTGCCTGGTACCAAGTACATAGTCACCCTGCGCAATGTGAAGAAAGACATTTCCAGCAGCCCTCAGCATCTACTTGCCACCACAGGTGAGGGACAGTCATATACCCCAGGTTTCCCAGGACAGGCTCTGTTTAAAATGTTTCCCCTGCTTTCCCTCAAATACCCTTCTATTGATTGTCCTACATTGGATTCTGAAAAACAGCAGATTGGATTCTGAAAAACAGCAGCTAAGGTCCTGGGTGCTCGAGAAGCAACCTAGTTCTCTCTTCCCCTCTTCCAGATACCTGGTACTGGGTCCTTCAAGTCAGCAACATGGTGGACTGAGTCTTAAGAGGTCTCCTGTTTCTGTGAGACCAGGAAGGTAGTTACCCCACACAAGTAGTCAAAGAGTGAATTGCTGGCTCCTTTCTCACTGTGCAAGTTCAAGTAGGGATGAGTGAGAAGTGGTTGAAGTCCCCTGTAGCAGGTAGCATCAGGTTACGAGGGAAGAGAACACAGATGGGACAACTGAAGGCTTACAGGGTTGTCTTCAGAGGTACGGAGATAGTATTTGGGTAGCAGAACACTCAAGGACTGGCAGCAATGATTCTAGCTTGAAGGATAGGATGGGCATCGGTACACTGACTCAGGGGAAGCTGTAGGAAAGGCTGCCTAAATGGATGATGCTGATAGAGGGTTACAGGCAGTCTGCTACACACTTGCAGGGAATGTAAAATAATGGCCTGAACTCTTTTCTGTTCTCTAATCTATGCCTGATTCCTTCTGGCTAAACCCAAGGTGAAGGGCCTGCAAGACTTAATTCACAGTGACAAAAACCTAGGACACAGAACAGGGTGGAGGACACAGGAGACTGGCTTCAAGGGTAAAGTCTCCACTGCATCACCAAATAATACCAAAATGACAGGAAGAATGAACATCACTGCTTCTGTCACTAATGTAATAGGTTCATCTCTTGGTGAACATCCAGAAAATTAAAGGAGTGTGTTTTATTACTCGCAGCAAGTAAGGAAAGTGCTGGGACTAACTCTCTAAGCAGTATTCTTTCCCAAACAAAGAAAGCAGAGGTTATTGGGGCCTTCTATTCAGAAATGTTTTGTTAAAGGAAAAATTACCATCACATGTAAAGGTGAACACATTCCTAAGCATGCTAAAACAAATAAACAAAAAAGGCCAGGAACTTGAGTTCAGTCCCTAGAAACCACGTTAAAAAAGGTGGGCATGGTAAGTACTTATGATCATAATGCTAAGGACGGGAGCCAGGTGGACCACTGGCCAGTCAGCCTAGCCTACTCATTGAGCTTCAGACCAGTGAGAGAGCCTACCTCCAAAAATAAGTTGGACAGTTCTTGAGACACAACCCTTAAGGTTGTCCTCTGGCTTCCACACACATGTATAAGTGCACCCCCCCCCACAGACCACACACACACCATAAACAGACACAGTGGTTAATATTAACACTTCTGTGTTAATTTAGGAGTATTAGAAGTATTTAGAAGAATTTAGAAGTATTCATGCAAATTAATGACTTAGAGTGTCTGGGCCATTCTGCAGGTTCCTTATTAGTTGCTTTAAAGGCCCCTAATTGCAAAACACCACCAGCATCAGCATCGCCATCACCAAAGTGACTTTGAGCCAGCTGTAGTGGCACATGTCTGTAGTTCTAGCCTTCAGGAGGCAGATACAGAAGAATCACAGGTCCAGGCCAGCTTCAAGACAAAACAGCTTTGAAACTATATTGTCTTTTAAAAAGGCAGCTGTTTTCCTCTAAGTGTGGGTGGGAACTACACTATGTGGCTGACTGGCTGCTAACACTCTTCAGAAATCCAGTTTTTCATGAATATTTTTAAAGCGGCATTGACTCTGGAGAGTTTGGATCAATCTAGTTGTCCAAGTGACTGATTCATCCCTTTTCTCCACACTTGTTCACTGAGGATTCTCCATGTGCCAGGTGCTGCTCTAGGTGTTGATAAAAATGTACTGCCAGCACTCTACTCTAAACCCTTGGGGAGAGATCCAGATGGGTAGATGCTGGCATGTAGTTTTCTTTTTGGAAACAGAAGGCTGCCTGTCCTGTTTTGGTGGCATGAACGTGGTGAGCTATAGTAGATCAGTATTGAAAATGGCTTTGAGAGATGTGGCAGTTTTAGGGCAGGCCTTCATCAGCAATCACTAAAAACACCCCTGTAGCTGCAACAAGTTGGATTTTGTTGTTCACTTTATCCTAGGAGATATCCACCATGGGGGAACTCCAGGGGTGTCTAAATAAGAATGTAACAATTGGCTCTAGACTATGGGGCTGGATTAGATAACTGGGGGGAGCAGGGATTTGCTTTGGTGCGGATACTGTCAAGAAGTGGAGGCAATTCTGTGGTTGAGCATCCTAGGGAATTTTCTCCAGAGAGAAGGCTCACCAGAGGCTGCCAAAGCTGTGACTGGGAAGAACTGGCTGCTTTGCCTGTTAGTCAGGCATGGGGACATTTTGTCATTTATGTGAACAAGAGTCTTGCTTTTGTCTGTGTTCAGCCATGGTCATAGGATAGCTTTGTTTTTGTCTTGGTCTCGCATGCTTGCAGAGTGTCCTTGGCTAATGCTGATGCTCTGTGAAATGGTTTATGCACTTGGGAGAGCACTAAACACAGCTGTGAGAGCCAGGCCAACTCCTGACAGTAGGGCCTGCTTTTGTTTGTATCTGCATCTGCCACAGGCAGGACAGTGCTGGGACTCGCAGGGAAGGGCAGGAACATCTGGTGAAAACCTTAGCAACATTTCTTCCTCCAAGAGTCTCCTCCAAGGCTTTGTAAAATCTTGCTACTGTGAAGTTTGTCTTTCTGTCTAAACTGATTCAAGTTCAAATCTATCCTCTCCACCCCTTGGGGAGCTTTAGACCTTCTAACACTAATTCCCATCTTGAACATTCTCCTTAAGTCCTTGATTTGTTTTGTTTTTAATTTGTGAATCTCTCTCAACTCTCTTAAGCCATGTAGGATGTCTTCCACAATCCTAGAGTCACCTTCATTACTATTGACCTCTCACTAGGGGAATTCTGTCTTTGAAAGAAGTCCCCAAACAGAATGTGGGGCTAGCATGTAGGAGCTGCAGGTGAGAAGAAAGGCTCTGAGACGCTCTCTGTCTATAGAATCATAGATTCTCAGAATAGAGAATCATATCTATGAGAGAATCATAGATACTCAGAGCTGAGGGATCTTGAGATAACTGACTTCATACTCTGCCTAGTAGGAAAGTTCCTTCTCATACATCCTTGACAATTGGTCAGAATGGATGAAAGTGCCTCTAAGGTGAAGGTGACATGGCCTTGGAAGGGGTAAGGCTGGGAGTCTTGGAAGTTGTTTTTCCCTGTCTCAGACTTTAAGAGCAATCTCTATTAGCCTGGGGTTGCAGTTCTAAGCCTTCACAGAAGTCCTTATCGGCCCTCCCCAAAGGTCTTCCCTTAGAGTGCTATTCCTTTGTACTATAATTTCATGATTTTCTTTCCAAGTGGCAGGGCAAATGTTAACCCTATGTACTTTACTGTGAACAAAGGCATACAATAACTGTCCTTTACAGGATAGGGCGATGTGGCATTATGAGCATACTGGGGACCTTGTGAAAGTTTTGTAATTTGATAAAAGGTTCGGGAAAGATACAGAGACAGACCTAATTAAAAATCACCTGCTTTGCAGTTTTGCCCTGGGTTAATCTATAGCATATCTGAGCACCATGGACTCTAATTTGGGAGTTAGAGGAAAGGTCTGGTTCTGTTAGAAATGTTATAGATTGAAAATTTGAAGTTCCTTGCCCTAGCTTTACATGCTTCTGTTCCCATGGCTATTGCCAAGGACAGGGACTCAGTAGTCACAGGGAGAATACCAGTTCAGAGCAGCTGAACCCTGGAATAGACATTGTGGAAGCTGGCCTGAGAGGATCACCTCCAACTTGGTCAGAGTCTGTGTGGGAGGGTGAGATGCATGGAGCATAGTGGGATGAGGTGTGGGATATTTCTAGGAAGAGTGTGCCTTCTGTGGACGATCTTGAGAGCAGCAGCTGCCTGCTACCTGGGGGGCTCTCAGATCCCTGCTAAAGACTGTGTCCTGGGGCTGAAGCCAGCTCTCAATGTGTCAAGGAAGGATGCTAACTTAGCAAGTAATGGCCTGTTTTCAGACCTTTGTGGCCTTAGCACTCAACCATTTTCTCTTGTCTTCTGTATTCTTTGTCCTAGATCTTGCTGTGGTGGGCACTGCCTGGGTAAATGAAGAGACAGAGACGTCCCTTGATGTGGAGTGGGAGAACCCTCTGACTGAGGTGGACTATTACAAGCTTCGGTATGGTCCCTTAACAGGGCAGGAAGTAGCCGAGGTCACTGTGCCCAAGAGCCGTGATCCCAAGAGTAGATATGACATCACTGGTAAGAGTCTACATTGGGAGATTCTAGATGCTGGTTGCAGAAGCTATGGCAGTGTACACCGGGCCTTAGGAATCACACTTGATTCTAGATGCAAGTCAGCTCCTTAGGCCTGCTGTCTCTGTGACAGTGTTTCAGGGCTGGAATCCCAGGACACTACATTAATAGACTACTTCTGAAGTGTCAGCAGAGTTTTTGAGGCCCTGTGTATATTTTATTTGATGGTGTACTGATATTTCTTTTGGAGGAGTGTTGCAGGGGAGTAAGGTAAGGAGGGAGAGTATCTATCTATCTATCATCTATACATACATACATTTAGATAGATGAAAGATAGATGATAGATAGATAGATGATTTGCTGAATACCATGCTGAGAAGGGTTGTGCTAGGCAAAAGGTAGGGAATCCCTTCTAAGATGACTGAATTAATATTACTAAGACCTGGATCTCAGGAAATGGGATTCAGGGATGTACCAAGTTTCGTAATACTTCGTTTCTACACTTTTCAAGGCCTTCTTAGAAAAATGACATGTGTGACACATAGACATAGACACAGGTTTCTGGACGAAGCCAAGCTAAGTGAAGGATCCCCAGCCTCCTGGTCCATCCTCTGGGTCCCACTCTTCTGCCTACTCCCTCAGTTCCTTTCTGTGGGAACAGCTTGCAGCTCTCCATGTTTGTGAAGAGGGGAATGAGTGGGCTTCATATAAGCAACTGTTTGTTTTCATTTTGCCAGTGGAGTCCAAATAGTTGTGTCATGAGGAACAACCGCTCAAGTTGTTTCCACAGGGAGATAACTTGGGCCAGATTTCCCCCTTTTCTTCTATTATAAGAAAAGTTTTGAGGGAATCTGGTTGTTAGGAGCTGGAAAACATTTGTACTATAAATAAAATTGGGAAGTAAGTACTCAATAGCTGACAAAGAACAGGAGCCCCAAGGACTTCGTGCTGTCTGTTCCCTACTCCTTCACATTCTACTGATCACAAACTGTTAGGTTTGGGGGGGTCAGCATAAATGTTACCTTCACAAGAGAACTCACATAGAAGCTGTGTGGGAGTGGGTTCTGGAGCCTGTCTTCACACCCATGTTGGCTGATTTTTTTCTAGGTCTGAAGCCTGGGACGGAATATAAAATCACAGTTGTCCCCATAAGAGGTGATCTGGAGGGGAAGCCAATTCTCCTGAATGGCAGGACAGGTATGGAGATTATATTTCATCATCTTCCCATTCTCAGATTTTTCTTGTCTCTGGGTGATAATTTCAGGATTTCCATGGAGAGATGCTCTGGCTTTCTTGATGGGCATCTTTACACTGAGGGGCAGAAGAGCAGAAGCAAATTGCTCCCAGTTCACTTTTTTTCTTGCCATAGGACACTCTTCTTGGGATCTTAGAGTCAAGGGAGATACTATTCCTGGCACATGTCTTGATTTGAGTTGTTTCAATCACTGAATTATTGTCTTAAGACACTTAATGGGTGTGCAGAACTGCCTTCCCCAAGGTCAATGGTTTAGACTATTTTTCATGTTGCATTTGTAGATTTTCCTAATGTCTACATTCAAGCAATCTGCTTTGAAATGAGAAATAATGGTTAAGACCCTCACATGGGGATCATGGTATAGTTGGCATTTCTCTATTGAGAATATTTGTAAGAAGTTATGCAGCAGCAATTTGTCATTTATCAACTGGAGTGAAACTTGAAAACATTGTAGGCTTAAGTCCATATTGAACAGTGAAGCTGTCTGCAGTAATTGTGCTCCTGCCTATGCAGATTGGGCTCTGAAAGAGACTGATGTTGGGAGCCTGCAAAGAAGGAATCTTTACATTTTGAATTTCCCTTAAAAAGTGTCTTAGTGATTTCCAGTTCAGTCTTGGTGGGGGTGATATAGTATTGAGGATAAGACAGTGTGAGGGTTGAACTAACTACTTCTGCTTCCTATGAAATGGTTGGAGAAGAGTTAGAGAGCTGGGTAATTATATAGGAAGGGTTGTAATTTAATTTATGATCCGGACAAGATGGACTGCCTGTGTCTCCACCCAGAACACCCAGGATGAGTAGTGAAACTCAGCTCCCATTCTTTTGACCAGGGGCTTGCTTTCCCTTAATGAATGAAAGGAAGCCCTGATACCGCCATCTCTTCATGTGTTATTCTAAACCCCCCAGGAAGTCAACTGTGAAACTTCCCTTCCTAATGTTACTGGGGTGGGAGTGGGGCATTGCAGTGGTGGAGGTAAAGTCCAAAGCAGGATCAAGAGGGAAGAACCACTGTCATTAGCCTACAAGTCAACTAATCCTGGTAGCAAAACTCCTACTTCTTGACTAAAGCCTTTTATAATTACATTAAATGTCACAGCTTTTGAGTTCTTACAGCAATTAAATGCATGTGCCATTGAATTGGTAGTTAACCTTTCAACTATATTATCCCAACTAGACTATTAGCATCGGAGAAGTGTTTTTATTGTCAATTATACCCTAAAATCGGGATGAGATGCTTTATTGGGTTGTAAATAAATCTATGGTGTGTTCTCTAATAAAACAAAAAGGGAAAAGATACTATGGTTTCAGAGGTCAGGAAATAATCTCAGACCTGATTGAGACAATTGGTTAATTTAGGAGACAAATTTGTGTTCTCCAAATGTTTTAGATCTCTCAATATGAAAAAGAGTACCAGAATTTAAGGACAGCATATACATATGTAGGGAGGGGCGACTGTAGTTCAGTTATTTTTCATTTAACAAGTCAACCAGTGGAATTTGTTAAACCAAAACTCGTAAAACTGAAGGGTCTCCAAATAAGAGTTTATTGAGCTGTTACAGCTGCTTCACAGGAACAAAACAAAACAAAACCCTGACTAGGTTCTTGGACAAGTTCCTTTGACTATTAGCAACAAGGTTAAATAGCAATTGAAAATATGTGAGTGGGATGGAGAGCCAAGAATATACTTATAAAATTCTGGGAAGGAAAGCACGTATGCTTAACACTGAGTCTGCACTGACAATAGGCAAGAGAGATTGGATTATCATTGGCAGCAGGAGATGTAACTCCAATTTGACAGCTATGCCACTTGAGTTCTCCCAGGGATCTCTGTTCTGCCAGTCAGGACCTTGTATTATGTGTCAGAAAAGAATTCGAGGACAAAGCAATGAAGCAAAATTAGGGTTTATTAAGGAGAGGGTGGTACATACTCAAGGGATAGATATAGGCTTCTCAAGGGACAGAGAATAACAGGTATTTAACAACACCAACAAAGGATTTTGAGGTCCGATTGGTCAAAGGGCAAGATCTGTATCTAAATTTAAAAATCTAAAATTAAAAGAGAGAATTAAAGTGTTCTTTTTTGCTTATTTTTAATTCAAGAATTGTTTTATGTGTCAATGAGATGATAAGGTGGTTTATGAGTATATCCTTCAGGTTCATGAATGAGCAAAGGGAATACTGACAAGAAAAGTTTAGGTCAAAAAGGTCAAAGAGATTCTTACTTTCCCTAGATCAAAACAAAACAAAACAAACAAAAAAACCAAGACCTCTTTTTATCAAGATTTCTGTTTGGCTGTAAACTCTGTTCACAATATTTTTGGGATTTCTTTCCCCCCTCCCCCATGGAAAAGCACAGGTTTACAGATAAAAATCCTGATGTGATAGAACCCAAAGGCCACTAACATTTTGTTCTTAAACATGGTTAGTTGTTTTAAGTGTTCTTTTTTTTATATCTCTCAGGAAAACTGATGTTGTTTTTATGCAGTCTTTACAATATGGTGATGGAACCTTTCCCTTCCTACATCCCCCCTTTAATTTTTCCCGTCTTCTATATTGCTTCAGAGTTATACAGAGTGGAGAATATTTGGGGTGTAAGAAAGCAGTGTCTGTTGCTCTTGCTAAGTTGGTTTTGATACTTTTAAAAGCTTACAAATAGCAGAGGTGGTGGCCCTGGGCAGTGACTAGGTTTAAGTCAAGGTTTCTATGTATCATTGTGGAAGGGGGAAAGGCCTTGTGCTTAGTTTCACCCAAAGTTGCTAACTGATTCACTTTCTTTACCATATTCTTCCCTCCTCCTCTTCAGCTATTCTTTTAGCAAACTAGTGTCATGAAAAAGATAAGGCTGACAGAGGTCAATGAGGGCCTCAATGTCCAGCAAGTGGGAAGTAGCTGAAGGACACTGGGGCCAGGCTGGAGAGATCCTGGTTTATAAATGAGGTTACAGCTGTAACTCGTCTAGGATTTGGCCCACCACTGCAGCTACTGGAAGGTTTTGCTGTGTGGAAAAATTGGTTTAATGATCCCCACATCCCCTCTTGGCAGGCAGGGAGGTTTTGGTTTTGCGGCACTGGCTTCATGCAATGTGGCATTTTGTGAGTGTGTGGGGTCCATCCATGAGGTCTACCTCTCATTCTTGGATGTCAGCCTCTGATTGCTATCCTTGTTCCATCCTGTGAATCATTAGGGATCCCAGCTTTGTGAGGATCCCCTTCAAGTTTATATTAAGGAGTTGAGAGGAAGGGGAGAGGAAGGAGGCAGTTATAGGCTGGTCCTATCTCTAGCTGGACTTCTGTGGTTAAATTTATAGAGCTAAAACTGTTCTAGATATAGAACTAGACTCATTTTTCTTTCCTGGAATTCATAAAAAAAGATGTGTTTATTTATTTGTCTTTTTTTAAAATCTATTTAGGCTTTTGCTCATTTGTTACCTAACCCAGGTCTGGAATCTTATCCCAAAGAAAAAACAGTGTTAGGAAGATGAGTACTATGGAGAAAGAAATGTTTTATTCAGTGAATGAAGAAGGAAAAAATTGGAGCATTTCCTGGCAAATCACCTTGGAGTCTAGGATAAGAACAATGTGGGAGAGAGACCCCCTAAAGAACAGGAGGGGTGGTACTCTCTTTGACCAAGCAGAGTTCTTTCAGAAACTCTGTTCCTCCTCTTTTCATGGTCTGTTGTGTCCATGTGGCATCTGGTAAATTTTTTAAACCTTAGAGGAGGAAGAGAGTCTTAGCAAGGTCTAGGTCAAATTATAATCCTGCAATATAAATTTGGACAAAACAGCTCTCAAATGATCAACATGTCTACATGCAATGCGGAGTAGAATCTGACCAAAGGATAAAGCAGCAGAGGACAGACACAGCATGAAGACAAAGGTGGCAAGCCTTCCCATTCCACTTTAGTCATCCATCAGACACATGTAGATAAATAAGATCAGTGAGTTTGTGTTCCTAGCAAAGTGTTCTTCAAGTCCTCCAAAAGCACCGTAAGCAACTGTTAGCATTATAACCACACACTGGATGTTTTCTACAGCAAAGCTAGTGGAACAGTATATTTAGCTTGCTTGTGTGACTTTTAATGTTAGTGATTATTAAGTGAAGGGCAGAAGAGTCTAAAGGGCTTGTTTAGGGTTTTTCTTGGCAGCTCTTTTATCTCGTCAGGGTCCTGAGGCTACTGAGGTAAGATGAGCTCCAGGGCTGTCCATGTTGGATCTCTCAGCACCTACCAACCTACCAACCTGCTGGCCTGTACAGGGTGCCTCAGAAGCCATGGGCTGAATATTGACTGGGACAAGGTGAAGAAGTGAGAGGCACTGCTAGGATCCTGGCTTTTATAGATGTGGGTGGGTCACTTTGGAGAGGGTGAGGGTCAGGGACTTCAGGAGCAGGACACTCTTGTCTCTGTGTCCTTACCCTTCTACTCACATTTCATAGCTATTGACCCAGAAAGAGCTATGGCCTCAGTGGGCCGTCACCATCCCTTCCTAGAAAGCACAGAATTATTTTGGACACAGAAAGGGGAAGGGGCAGGGAGGGAATTCTCTCTGTTGTGTGCATGCTTTCTTCTGAACAACCTCTTAGAGCCTCCTGAAGGTGGGGTTGGGATTCTGTAGGTTTCTGCAACCAGATTTCATCCTCTCTCATTTTATGGGGCTCTCTTTGCCAGTGAGATAGATACATCTCATATTCCAACAGCCCAGGGCCATTTTCTTTAGTATTCTCCCTAAATTCTAAACTACTACATGTTATTTTAGGTTACAATAGCCTTTAAGAGCATATTTTTATTTTGCCTACAATTTGTTATTAGTGCTTATTCCATATAGACTGATGAGATATTAGATTGGGTTGGGTCCACCCATATGGCCCCATTATAAATTTATTATCTCTGAAAAGATTGTTTCAAAACAATAAGGTTCCAAACTGAGTTACAAGGTGTAGCACTTTGGCTTGTTGTATTGGAGCAGGAGGACTAGATGCAATTTAACCCAAGCCATCATGGATCCTCAGCTGCTTGTAGGCATTCGAAGATTGTTAATGGAGTGACAGCCACTAATATTTACTACTATTGATCTTAGACAAATTATATAACCTATTTATACCTAGCATATACTTACTGTTCTAAGAATGGAAGACTTTATTAGTTTTTTTTTTTAAACCAGTGAGGCACCTAGTAAATGCCTTCTGTTTTACCATGAGATTTGATAACTAATGTATGACAAGCACATGACCCCTGGTGTGTGCTTAGTAAGTGGCAGTTGACTTACTAAATGAAATATGAGCTGCCTCTGGTAATGGAACACATTTCATCTTTTTATGCAAATAAAACAGTGCCCTTATGTTTGATAAAGGTGCACTATAGCAGAGGTTGAAGAATGGGACTGTGTGAAGTTATAACTTCTCTCTGAAAAATCCTTTCCTAAGCATAGATTTGAGTGAAAGGAAAGGACTTTAGCTTTAGACTAAGAAGATATTCTGTGGCTTTTAAGCTAAGAAGATGTAGATCCATATGCCGAGGACATTCGGGTATTGATATATTTTTCAATATAGATGACTTACTTATAATATTCTCCAGTGGCAGAAAGCTGGGCAAAAAGGTGAGCATGTTGGACAAAAGAGTAAGTTATGAATGGAACTTAGAGGGTCAAAGTTGTAAGTGGAAATGTTGGGTCAGGAATTATTACACATACATAGAATGGAGATGGGGATGATGGGGTTTAACATGGAAGCCCTCATTCTTTGATGTGCATCAGAATCACTTAAAAGTCTTATAGTATTCACAAACTTATTATGTATTTTTGAGACAAGGTTTTGGTCTGTGGTTCAGTCTGGTGTTGAATTTCACATATAGCGCAGGTTTATCTTGAACTTATGATTATTCTGCTTTAGTCTCTCAAGTGCAGGGATTACAGGCATGTATCATCATGATCAGGGCTCTGTGTATGTAGGGGTACTTTTTGTCTCTAATCCCAGCATTCAGAAAGCTGAAGTAGAGGATGTGAGTTCAAGGCCCAAGTAAATAGTATGAATCTGTTTTAAAGAACTATCCCAACTCCCCGTGACCAAAATCCAAAGCAAGCAAACAAACAAGTGAGTGAGAAAAGAAGAAGAAGGAGAAGGGGAAGGGGAAGAAAAAGAGGAAGAAGAAGAAGAAGAAGAAGAAGAAGAAGAAGAAGAAGAAGAAGAAGAAGAAGAAGAAGAAGAAGAAGAAGCACTAAAAATAGAGATGCTAGGGCTCATTCTAAACTTCCTGAAGTGGAATCTTTGCTGGGGGCTCTTGACAGGGACCTAGTATTGACAAAATTTGAGGACCCCAAAATTTGATACGTGTTGGTATGAAAAAGATTGGGGACTTATTGAAGCCATAGGTACAGGGTGTGTTATTGAGAAGTGTGTGTGTGTGTGTGTGTGTGTGTGTGTGTGTGTGTGTGTGTGTGTCTCCAGGGTACAGCTGGAAGTGGAAAATTGTTTTGAATATAAACAACCTCAGCATAGACTTCCAATAGACTTCCAGCTATTTTATTTATCAATAACTGCTGAGTGTCATCACATCTCCTGTTATGCACATTGTTGTGAGGTAAAAGAACTAAATTTTTGACACATTTATTTGGGAGAGAAAGAAGACAGGAATATTGTAATAGATAGATGATAAATGCTAGTTCTTGAAACTTCAATTTGGAAGAAGTAGATACACAAGGCCAATTGTTTCAATTTCAGGAGACTTGAAATGAGGAAGGCTACCCATTCTTGAATACTCACTGAGTTGTCTCCTGGATAGGGAATTAGAGGCATCCCGTCAGTAAAGTGTCTCCTATGGTAAACACTTTAAAGGAGTTATACTTTATAGAAGCATTGAATACTTTGTAAGGTGTCTATCAGCTGCACCCAAATGGAGTTTATTCAGTGTGTTCAGTGATCTGAACCTAGAACAGCTTTTTCTTTTTAAATCTATCAGGGACCAGGGACATAATCTCTCAGTTTAAAGTTAAAGCAAATGTTAGATGTCCACCTGTCACAGTTTAAGAAGAGACCACCTTGTATTGTGGAGACCTCTGACCTAAAGTGATGGTGGATTTTTATTAGGTGAGTGGTTTCTCAAGTTTTCTTTCTCATGTATTTTTATGAAGAAATTGATGGACCGACCAATGTGGTCACTAATCAGGTGACAGAAGACACAGCATCTGTTTCCTGGGATCCAGCGAGGGCTGACATAGACAAGTATGTGGTGCGATACATCTCTCCTGATGGGGAGACTAAGGAGAAAGCGGTACCCAAGGACCAGCGCAGCACTGTTCTAACGGGCCTGAAGCCAGGAGAGACATACAAAGTCTTTGTATGGGCTGAGAGGGGCAACCAGGGCAGCAAGAAAGCCGACACCAAGGCCCTTACAGGTAATGGGAAAATGGGAGTTGGGGAGGCTTCTTCTGGGTAAGGAGGAGGTTGCTTTTGCAGGCAAAGCACTTGGCATCAGCTCTTTTGTTTGTGGGTTGTGGGATAGTTACAAAAGCAATTTTAAAAGACTTTTATTTTTTATACAATATATTTTGACTATATTTCTTTCTGTCTGCTAATTCCTCTCAGATCCTTCATCTCACCTCCCTACTCATGCAACTTTATGTTCTCTCCCTCTTTCTCAAAAGAGACCCCAAGAAAAATAATGAAACAAAATAAAACCCAAAATACTAAAAATAAAAACAAACTAAACAAACAACACTCCCCTCCAACCATAACAAAAGTTCATGAAAAATATGAAATTTGTTTTGTGTTGGCTGTTTACTCTTGGGCATAGGGCTTGCTTGGGACATGATTGATATACCCAGTGATCCTCCATTGGAGAAAATGGATTTCTCTTTCCCAATGTGGATCGACTGTAAACAGATTCTTGGTTAGGGGTGGGACTTGGTGTTCACTTCCCCTGCTCAATGCTGAGATTCTTGTCCCAAAATAAATTTCAATGTCATGTTTATGAATTTTTCCATTTTATGTAATATTTATTTATTTGTATTTTTCTCTCCTCCAATTCCCTCCCCCAACCCCTTCTCTATCCACTCCTCTTCTCTTTCTGTTCAGAAAGAGGCAGGCTTCCCATGGGTATCAACAAAGCATGACATTCAAGTTGCAGCAGAGCTAAGCTCCTCCCCTTGTATTAAGGGTGGGCAAGACAAGCCAGTATGAGGAATAGGATCTCAAGAGCCAGCCAAAGTGTTAGGGGTAGCCCCAGTATTAGGAGTCCCACAAGTAGACCAAGCTACACAACTGTTACATATATGTAGAGAGCCTAGGTTGGGCCTAGGCAAGCTCTCTGATTGTTGGTTCAGACTGTGAGTTTCTATAAGACAGGTTTTCTTTTTCTTTTTTTTAATTTCACATGTCGATCCCAGTTCCCTCTCCCTCCCTCCCTTCCTCTCTCTCTCTCACCCTCTCTCCCCCTTCACATGCACCCTGACCACCCTCCCCTCCCATCCCCCGCCCCAATTTCACATGTAGGGCAATGCCATCCAGGTGGGGTCATGTAAATCTGTCAAGTCATTTGAAGTAGGGACTAGGACTTCTCTCCTAAGACAGGTTTTCTTATGATGTCCTTGACCCCTTGGTTCCTATTTTTACTTTTTAATAAAAACTAGAAACATTGGGCCAACTATCAATGTGAGTGCCTAGCTTGACTTGCAGTGGCAAAGAGGCACTTCTCACATAGGAGATCTCTTTCAGACCATGGGAATGGTTTGCATCCTTGATCAACATTTGCCAAACACACCGATTTTTCCCTTAAATGTTAAGAAACACAAGGATCTCCAAACTGCATCCACTTGTTCTGCTCAGCTCAGACCTTCAGGTGTTCTGAGACATACTGGGACATACAATGGCCATTCTTTGTGTTTAAACACTGCCTTGGTGACTTCCTGCATTCACAACAGCCTAATTGGTATCCACCTACTCTTCCAAAACACTTATAGGAAGTCAGAGGGAAAGGATTCTCTGACTGGGTCTGGACAGTCACTGAACTGAGAGAAAGAACTTCAGAGAAGTATGCACAGTAATTAGGAACATGGTTTCAGATCCTTGGCTGTTCAGATTTTAATGTCTTTGCTGCCATTTACTAGTTGAGTGGCAGCGGGTCAATTTCTAGTTCACACAGTGGCTATGTCATTGGGTTATGAGGAGGGTTACATTGAGTGTCTGTGAAGCTTACTATTTTTTAAAATCAAGTGAACATTTTCATTTATTTATATTTTAAATATTACCACAGCCACACAGCACATGGAAAATTGAGGTGTGCTGGTCAGCAAGGTGGCTTGGTGGGTAAAGACACTTGTTGCCAATGCTCATGGCTTTACTTTGCTCCCCAGGACCCATATGGTGTAGGGAGAGAATCATTAACTTCTCCACCTTGTCTTTTGACCTCTATATTCATTTGTCACATATAAATTCCCCTTCCCATGACATATATACACATAAATAAGTGTCTTAAAAAACAAACAAAATGGTTGTTTACATTTCCTTTGCTATACAATTACATGATTATAAAGTTAGTGTCTGAAAACAACAAAAAATGTATTGCATTATAGTTTTGAGTGTCTGAAATCCAGTTGATCTCAATACCACAGTAAAATATGTTTTGGAAAGCCAATCTAAAGCTGTGCACTCTTGACACTGTCATAGCATGCTGTGAAGAAACTGGGTGGTCTAGGAGCAAATCCCATGATTCTTAAACTTTGAAAGATACAGACATATTCTCTAGAATAGTGTGCATGTGAACAGGCTGTGGAGTCTCTGAGATGGATGATCAGCCATGGAGGCTTTGAAGAAAGCCATAGGAAAAGCTAATTGTACATATGGCTAGCTGAACAAGGCCTACCAGAATGTGAAGCTTACTATTACTGTGATGAAACATCATGACCAAAAACAATTTGGGGAGGAAAAGATTTATTCAGCTTATCCTTCCATGTCACAGCTCATCATCATAGAAAGTCAGGACAGGAACTCAAGCAGGGCAGGAACTTTGAGTCAGGAGATGATACTGAGGCCACAGAGAACTGCTGCTTACTGGCTTGCTCGCATGGTTTGCTCAACCTGCTTTCTTATAGAATCTAGGACCACCAACCCACAATGGGCTGGCTCCTCCTGCATCCATCCATCGCTGATTAGAAAATGCCCTGCTAGCTTGCCTACAACTCAATCTTATGGAAGCATTTGCATAATTGAGGTTCCTCCTTTCAGATGACTTTCACCTGTGTTAAGTTGACATAAAACTATCAATGAGTTAAATTCATATAAAGCAACCAGAATACAGCAAAAGTCCTAATTTGCTTTCTATTGCTGAGATGAAACATTGCCCAAAACCAATCTGAGGAGGAGAGGGTTTGAGGAGATGACCCCTGAAGAGAGCCTGGAAGGACAGGTGGGAGCTGGTAGGGAACTAGTATGTGTAAAGGTCTCAAGTTAGGTAATCTCCAGTGCCCTTTATGGTAGACATGCCTGTGACATGGTATAAGAGGCTGGGACATTGAAACCAGCTCACTGTCCTAGGAGTTTGAGCCTTTATTCTTCTATGACAGATGCCAGTGGTCCCATCTCTGTGCTTTTTAAGGCCAGTTGTCTCACAGGACTACATGTTTTATCGAGGTGACTGCCAGGCCTGGCAAGCTGCAATGTGCAGGCTGAAATGTTCTTTTTTTCTGGGAATACTTGCTAAGGAGCTGGCTTTTAGAGCAGGGTAATAAAGGGATTGCTGTTTAGCAATGTACCATATTGTTTGGAGTTTTGACTCTAAGGCCTTCCATTTTGAGGAGGAAGTAATATCCCATACCTGAAATGCTATTATTAATAGCAAGCCATATGAGATTTACCATGCCACACTTCATCTATGAGGAAGGTTGGCTCCTTCCTTCCCTGTAGAGGTGCCGGACAGACAGAAACTAAAATCTAACAGTTTCTCCTAAGTGAGGAACCAGGAAAACCAGAGCCAATGCTTTAACCCAGTTTTGTCACATGGACACTCAGGCAGATCCTGCTAGTATCCTTTTCATAATCTACACATCAGTGTCATTGGTTTAAAGCACAACCACATTCCCTGGCCGCAGACACATGTTTTATGTAGAAAACACAGATAGCTCCCATTTCTAGAAGGTCATTGAAATATACTTGCTTTTAGGTACAAGGGATTAGGGAACTGCAGGAGAGTGCTATGTAATATATAGAAGAGGAAAACTTTGTATGAAAAATCCATTTTTTTAAACTGCAAAGCATTGATCTCTATGTATTGGCATGGTCTGAAGACCCTTCCATTTATGCTAGTGGTTTGTTCTGACCACTTGCCCACTCAAAGCCTTAAGTTCTCTCAATCACTGACATATAGCTGGCTCAAATTAATTGACATCATTACTTTGGCTATGCCTTTGGCTTTTTAGAAACTAGAGAGTAATAAAGCCTACCCTCTTATTTTGTATCTTCCTTAAAGAAATCGACAGCCCAGAAAACCTGGTGACTGACCGAGTGACAGAGAACACTCTCTCTGTCTCGTGGGACCCAGTGGAGGCTGACATCGACAGGTATGTGGTGAGCTACGCTTCCCCCAACGGTGAGACAAAGCAGGTTCCAGTGAGGAAGGATGAGAGGAGCACAGTCCTGACTGGCCTGAGTCCAGGCGTGGAGTACAAAGTTTATGTGTGGGCTGAGAAAGGCGATCGAGAGAGCAAGAAGGCCAACACCAAGGCTCCCACAGGTGAGCAGAGAGAGATGAGCGGTTGGAACAAATGTGAACTTAAGGATTTGAGTGTGTGTGGTACCACAGATTGGGGGTCTGAGATGAGAGACTACAACTGGAATGTTAAGATGTGTGACACTGGGGGTGGGGTGGGGTGGGGGTGGAGAGAGAGCTCAGACAGTAGAGTGCTTGCTTCACAATCCGAGTGGGATCCTTAGCATTCTGTGTGAAAAGCTGGTTGTGGTAGCACCCATTGGAATTCCAGCACGGGGTGGGGGGGGGAAGGCAGGTGGATCCCAGGGGCTCACAGGCCAGCCAGCCATGGCCAGGCAGCAAGCCTCAGGTGTAGTGGGAGAAATATAGCTGCATATCAGTGATGCTTTTAGCCGACTTGGTGGATGTGTGGTTATGGGAATATTTGTGACAATTCTTTCAGAGTTCTCACCAGTGAAGCAGCCCTTGATAAAATGATAAATTAGGTACTCTGACAGTGTGGCAGGTGTTTAATTGGCTGTCTTGATGTGCCATATGTTACTATGAAGATATTGTTCCTTCTACAAGGAACTATAGCCAAGGAGCTATGCTAAGTGTATAGCTAGCCTGACTTTGAAGTCAAGACACAGGAACTTCACTCCCTCTTGACTCCCAGCAGAGACTTGGGTGTGGTAACCCATCACCTGCCGAATGTTCTGGGTGGCAAAAAGCGATAATAGCCTTCCACTGCTATGGCTTAAACTTTCCAACATTTTCCTTTCAGACATCGACAGTCCCAAAAACTTGGTGACTGACCAGGTAACAGAGAACACTCTCAGTGTCTCCTGGGACCCTGTTCAGGCCAACATTGACAGGTACATAGTGAGCTACACTTCTGCTGATGGAGAGACCAGGGAGGTGCCAGTGTCTAAGGAGAAGAGCAGAACTGTCCTGACAGGCCTGAGGCCGGGCATGGAGTACAAGGTCCATGTATGGGCTCAGAAGGGGACCCAGGACAGCAGGAAGGCCAACACCAAGGCCCCCACAGGTGATAGAGCACACATTATCTCTTCGGCATTGCTAAGCTTATGACATGTTTAGGTTGATTTTTCTTTCTCTGACCTGAAGATTTTGTTGATTAGAGGTGATACTGTCCCCTAGCCAATTGTATATCCTCTTCTCTCAAAATGTGTGTCTCATATTGTATTGTCCTAACTGTGGTCTTTAAAGACGGATGTTCACTGCTCACGACCTCCCCTCTTCTTCTGCCTGTGTACCTTATTTGTTGTTAAGGCTAAACGTTTCACTTCTGCAACAAGCAAATCTGAAGAAAGCACAGGTAACTGTCATGTTGGCAGAGCTAGACTTGTTGGTTATGAGCCACAAACAACTTTCTCTTTTTAAAAATTCCTCCCTTGTTTAAACCCTTCCAATGAAGTTTGTTCCTATTTCTGCCCCTTGGATGAATGTTTTAGGCAGAAATAATTGCAGTGTTCTGTTATCTAAAAATAAGCTAGTGTCTAGTCCCCCCAGTGTTGATTTTTTTTAGTAATGAAAATGTCCATTTCCATGTAAGACTCCATCCTTCATTTGCAGTTAGCTGTTTGCATGCTAACTGCCTGCCATGGGAAGGGGCAGTGCTCAGCTTCTCTGCTGTTTTCCTCCTTGTACTTAAGTCCTATTCTCCCAGCTGGCTAAGTACATTTTTTTTCCATCCTAACCTGTTACCTCTCCTCCCTCCTAACACTGCAGCACACTTCCTCTAATAGTTGGTTGACCAAGGTTGGTCAGCCGAGGATCCTAAAACTGCTCTAATGGCATCCTCTCATACCTGCAGATGGTTCTCCAGAGCAGTTCTTGACACAACCCTAGGCATAACCCCACTTTGCTCAACTGACATCTAGTCCATGGGAATCACACATGTATCCTATGCCCATTCAAATAACATATAGTCTGTGTAAAACACTGAAGCCCCTCTTGCTCTGTGTGACAGCAGCCAGCCATTTTCTCATGGATGAGGTATTATAGCTACATGTCATACACAAGTCTGCTGTTCCCCAAGCTTTAGAAAGTCTTCTCAATTTCATCACCATTGGCATTTGAACAGGACACACCTTTGTTCCAGGGGTCTCTCTCTCTCTCTCTCTCTCTCTCTCTCTCTCTCTCTGTGTGTGTGTGTGTGTGTGTGTGTGTGTGTGTGTGTGTGTGTGCGCGCGCGCGCATGCGCGCGCGCGCGTATGTTTAGCATACACCTGTATCCCCCTCTTCTATACTGAGTTGTGGCAGTCAGAATGCCTTAGGCATTGCTAATCACCCCTGCTGAGATATTTTGCTCCTCAGCAAGCTCATTAAGCTCTACCAGGGACCCTGGTGAAACAGATTAAAGTTCAGGCCTCACTCAAGGTACTCACAGCCTTTTCAAATAATTCTACTCTTTAAGTCTCCAACTTCCTTAATAGTTTGGACATGGTTGGTCATCCAACAATCATAAAACTGTTGATCCTGCCTACTTGTGGGAAGTAGGGATTTAGATACCAATTTTCTTGTGGTCATAGCCTAAAGGTACATATGAAGTAGAATCTTTGTGCAAATGGCCTTAGGAAAATGGATTTTGCTATGAACTATTTGGAAGGAAATATTACTAGTTTATTGATAAAATATATTTTTGATTACCTTCTGTTATGTCGTATGGAGGAAGATAATCTCTAGGATTTATTAAGTGTCAGTGAATTGATTTCATCATTAGTAATGATAGTTGAAGGTCTTGGGCATCTACTCAGTGCTAAAGATAGCCATAGCCTGTTATTAACTCATGTGATGCAACACTATGATGTAAAAAATCTACAAAATATAAATTAATATCTGTTTTTGTTTCCTCTGTGGAAGAAGTTGAGGGACAAGGGCTGGAATGCCCTGTATTACATGCTGAATCTTAGAATGAATATACTGAGGTCCCATAACTGTAAACATTGTATTTATTTTTGTTGACAGAGATAACTGCACCCGTCACACCTAAAACATTCCATTTTACAAATGTAGAATACAGTGAAGCAACTTGCCCAAGTAATAAAACAAATAATTGATGACAGTAGATACACACGTTGCAGATTAGTTCCCGAAAGAACCTGAAGTCTACACAACAGTCTGTATATATTTTTAGAGGACAGGCAGCAGGACTTAGAGACAAGCAGCTGAGTTGCCCAAGGCTGGCTACCAACAGCTGGCTGATTGCAGAGCTGGGGTGAAATTCTCATTCTGCTGATTGGAACCCAAGTTGCTTCCCACCCCTCAGCTCTGCCCTTTGGATGCAGTGCTCATTCTACTGTCCTGTGCAGTCTTTGAGGCTCTGAGTTCAGCTGTGGAGATAAGGTCTCTGTCCATGAAGCACTGAAAATGCACATATGATATGGGGAAACCCTAAGAACCGAAAACTCCCCCAGCCCAGGCTCTCATTCCTTTTTACTAGTATTTATTGATTGACTCTTTCCCGTTTAGATATTGATGGCCCCAAAAACTTGGTGACAGACCAGGTGACAGAGACAACTCTCAGTGTCTCCTGGGACCCAGTGGAGGCTGACATCGATAGGTACATGGTGCGCTACACTTCTGCTGATGGAGAGACCAGGGAGGTTCCTGTGTCAAAGGAGAAGAGCAGAACTGTCCTGACAGGCCTGAGGCCAGGTGTGGAGTACAAAGTTGATGTGTGGGCCCAGAAGGGGACCCAGGACAGCAGGAAGGCCAACACCAAGGCCCCCACAGGTATGAATGTTGTAGTTTGAGGATGTAACCTATTTCATGGTAAGCCTTAAGAGGACACTTGCTGTTCCTTCTGTGGCCTTGGAAGAAACCAATGGTTGTAGAAGACCAGAGTGTCAGGCTTTTATCATATCACCCACGCCACCCTTGCATACCTTTACACTTAATCCAGAAGTGTGGACCTCACAGTTTGGTCTTATGAAGATTAATGATTGCTCATATCTACACACTGTTTTTCTAATTGTGTATTTCTCTCATTGTCAATCACTGAATTATTTCACCTTGAAGATTAAATGACATAAAGCATGTGCTTTAGGATCTGGGAGCCAAGGGCTTTAGGGAAATAGTTTTTACTGGGATTTTGTTGGAACAGGAGGATTTATTGTTCTGTTAGTGAGTAGATTTTTGAGTACTGTGTCCTCCATTTTGACAATCCTGGAGTTTCAGCCATATATAACAACAGCAGATAGTTTTAAGACTTTCCCCTTCATTCATTTGCAAGGAATAGCCTTATTAAGATATGTTTACATAAAACATTAAGTCTTTAGTATATGCAGCTCAGCATTTAGTATTACATAGTCACACAGTTGCCCAACTATTAGACTGTATGTTTAGGAGACTTTTAACTTAATAAGAAATGTGATATACATTACCAATTATTACCTATCCCCATTCCCTCCCCTTAGGTAGCAACTGTTATCTATATATTCTAGATTTCTCTGTTCTGAACAGTTCTAACACATGGATTAATACAGTATGTGGCATTGGGTGATTTGCTTCTTTCATAAAACATAGATTTCAGGTTCATCTGTATTATAACATGTACTGACACTAATTTTTTATTAAAATTAATATTTCCTTTTATTGATATACACATTTATTTGCCAGTTTGTCTTAGTGGCTATTTAGTTTGTTTCCATGTTTTGATTATCATGAATAATGATACTCGACCTCAATTTCTTTTAGGTAGATGTATTAGAACTGAATCATTAATTCTATATATTTAATTTTTGAGTTCCTGCTAAACTGATCTCCAAAGTGGTTGTGCCCTTTTACATTCCCACAAGCAAAACTAAGAGTTATTTTCTTCATTTACTTGGTCTCAAGAAGAATTTGTTGTGCAGGTGAAGCAACAATCCTTGTTTTCATTCACATTTGAGAATCCTCAGTCTAGTGAAGTACATTGTTTCTGCAGTTCACACAGTTAATGGATGATTCATAGGGTTTGGTTCATAAAATACTTATGGAATATTGCAGCATCTTATCCTGCGTGTATCTAAGGTCCACTTTTACAGGTGAGGAGATGGAGGTCCAGTTAGCTGCTGAGGACTCTGAGCCCACTGGGCTGGGACTACAAACCCAGGCTCTCTAATTCTAAGTATGTTCTGTTTTCACTATCCTGGGCTACTGCTTTGAGGATCCAAGAGTCTAGTTGTGGGGACAAGATCTCTGACTGGGAATCAACTGAACACCAATATGGGAGATGGGAAAAGCATAAGAACCAGAATGCTCAGCCCAGGCTTAATGGTGGCTGGAGAGTGTGTGTGTGTGTGTGTGTGTGTGTGTGTGTGTGTGTGTGTGTTTAGATTGTCTTGTTGACAGCCTATGTTGATCTCATATTCATAGTCTCATGATTCCCTGCCTCAACCTTCTGAGTGCTAGAACTACAGCCTTGAGAACTACAGTCACTCTCAGTTTACTAGTGGTTATTGATCAAGCTTTTCCTTTTAGATATTGACAGCCCTAAAAACCTGGTGACTGAGCAGGTGACAGAGAACACTGCCACTGTGTCCTGGGACCCAGTAGAGGCTGATATTGACAGATACGTGGTACGCTACACCTCTGCTGATGGAGAGACCAGGGAAGTCCTTGTTGGGAAGGAGGAGAGGAGCACCATCCTGACGGGCATGAGACCAGGTGTGGAGTATCAGGTGGACGTGTGGGCCCAAAAGGGGACACGGGAGAGCAGGAAGACCAGCACCAAAGCCCCCACAGGTAATGGACATCATTCCTTGAGAATTTAACTGTTGTCATCCTATGCAAATGGAAGGTCACATTTGGATTTCTTTCACTTCTATTGGCCCAAATCAATGATTTGGACAGAATCAGGATGGCAGAACATTGTCATAGAGCTTTCAGCATTTCTCAGTGCCTTTGACATATTATCTCTCTCTTTTTTAAATAATAAAAGGTATTTAATTAAAAAATCAATAAATGTTACTTCTTTATTATTATCACTATTTTTTATTAGTTAAATTTTAAAATTTATTTTACATCCCAACCCCCACCTCCTCACTGCACTTCCCCCAACCACTTCTCTTATGTTTCTGTTCAGAAAGGGACAGGCCTCCCATGGTTGTCAATAAAGCATCGCACCTCAGGTTGAGGTAGTACTAAGTTCTTCCCCTTGTATTAAGGCTGGACAAGACAACCCAGTATGAGGAATATGTCCCCAGAAGCCAGTTCAAGCACCAGGGGCAAGCCCTGATCCCACTGCTAGGAGTCCCACAAATAGACCAAGCTACATAACTGTCACACCTATGTAGAAGGCCTACGTCGGTTTTTTGCAGATTCCCTAGCTGTTGGTCCAGAGTCTATGAGCTCCTATGAGCCCAGGAAAGTTGTTCCTGTGGGTTCCCTTGTGGTGACTTTGAACCCTCTGGCTTCTACAATTCTTCTTCTATCTGTTCATCAGGATTCCTGGAGCTTAACACAGTGCTTGGTTGTGGATATCTGCATTTATTTCCATCAGTTACTAGATGAAAGCTCTCTGATGACAATTAGGGTAGTCATCTGATTACAGGAGATGGCCAGAAAAGGCACCTTCTCCACTATTGCTAGGAGTCTCAGCTTGGGTCACCCTTATGGATTTCTGGGAGTTTCCCTGGTACCAGATTTCTCCATGACCTCGAAACCCCACCCCATCAAGATATCTCATATTATTTTCCCCCTCCATCCTGCCCCCAACCCATCTAATCCAATCCCTCATGATTCCATCAACCCCACTCCCAGTTTACCTGGAAGATCTCTTCTATTTCCCTTTCCCAGGGAAATCCATGTGTCCCTCTATGGGCCCTCCTTGTTACCTAGTCTCTCTGGGTCTATGGATTGCATCATGGTTAATACCCACTTATGAGTGAGTACATACCATGTTTGTCTTTCTGGGTCTGAGTTACCTCACTCAGGATGATGTTTTTCTTTGTCCCATCCATTTGCCTACAAATTTCATAATATAATTGTTTTTTACAATTGAGTAATTTTCCAATGTGTAAGTGTATCACATTTTCTTTATCTTTTTCCAGTTAAGAGGGATCTAGGTTGTTTTGTAAATTATGAATAATGCTGCTATGAACATAGTTGATCAAGTGTCCTTGTGGTATGATTGAGCATCCTTTGAGTTTGTGTTCAAGAGTAGAAAAGCTGGGTCATGATGTAGATTGAGTCCCAGTATTCTGTGAAACTGCCATATCTATTTTCAAAGTGGCTATATAAGTTTCACTCCCCCCAGCAGTAGAGGAGCATCTGTCTCCCTTACGCTACATCCTCTCCAACATAAGCTATCATTAATGGTTTTAATCTTAGCTATTCTGACAGGTGTAAGATGGTATATCAGAGTCCTTTTGATTTGCATTTCCCTGATGGCTAATGATGTTGAACAATTCTTTAAGTGTATCTCTGCCATTTGATATTCTTCTGTTGAGAATTCTGTTTAGATCTATACCCCATTTTTTAAATTGGATTATTTGGTATTTCGATGTCTATATTTTTAAGATCTTTATATATTTTGGGGATCAGCCCTCTGTCAGATGTGGAATTGGTGAAGATCTTTTCTCATTCTGTAGGCTGCCCTTTTGTCCTATTAACAGAGTCCTTTGCCTTACAGAAGCTTTTCAGTTTTATGAGGTCCCATTTATTAATTGTTGATCTCAATGTGTTCACTACTGGTGTTCTATTCAGGAAGTTGTCTCCTGTGCCAATGTGTTCAAGGGTACCTCTCACTTTCTCTTCTATCATGTTCAGTGTAACTGAATTTATGTTGAGGTCTTTGATCCATTTGGACTTGAATTTTGTGCAAGGTGATAGATATGGATCTTCTACATGCCAACATCTAGTTATGCCAGCACCATTTGTTGAAGATGCTTTCTTTTTTCTGTTGTATAAGTTTGGCTTCATTGCCAAAAATCAGGTGTTCATGGGCATATATTATCTCTTAATTAGGAAGGATCTCATGTGCAGATTTATACTTTAGCCTCAGAGAGATTGGTGGTGAGCTGTGGATATAGCTCAGTAATATGGTTCTGCATAGCATGAATAAGGCCCTGGATTTGATCCCCTGCATGAAAGTAAAAGGACCAATGGTGGTGGATGGCTTTTCCTCAGGGCTTTTCCAACTGTGTTTTCTCTTTGTGCTCAATTCCAAACATTTTTCTTAATGAAGATGATAGAAAAAAAAGATATATATGTTAGGGTATGTGAGTTAAGTACTCCAGGAAAATGGCTTTCTCTGTGATCACTTTGAGGTAAGGAGAAGATTTTACTTTCTTAGTGGTAAATTGTCTTCTGAGTACTGTGTTCCATTCTGAGAATTGTACCATGGATAGTTCACATAACATTTGGTAATTGTAAGGCCTTTTCACCCCTGCTTACACATTTGGTAAGAACAGCCATATTAAGAGATATTTACAGCTGGGTATTGGTGGTGCACACCTTTAATCCCAGCACTTGAGAGGCAGAGACAGGCAGATCTCTGTGAGTTCGAGGCCAGGCTGGTCTACAGAGCTAGTTCCAGGACAGCCTCCAAAGCAGTACAGAGAAACACTGTCTCTAAAAACCAAACAAAACCAACCAACCAACCAAACAAACAAACGAACAAACAAAAAGAGATATTTACATATTAAAATTTACCCTTTAAAAATGTACAATTCATTCAATTTGGTGTGTTCATAGTTCTGTAACTAACACAGTAGTCTATTACTGCAGACTGTTCTCATTACTAAAAAGAACTGAGCCCAAGCTCACATTCATTGCCAGGCATTTTCTAACCTCACTGCCTTCAGCTCTGCTAACAGCTGCTCTCTGTCTCTATAGAGTTCTCTGTTCTGGACAATGTTTATATGTCGATTTATCTATATGGCCTCTGGTGAGATGCCTTTCACTTTCCAGCTTTGTTTATATTGTAACATGTATCAGTATGCAAGTTAGTGTTTCATAGTACATGTCAGCACATTTGCTTTTCAGTTTATTTGTTGTTTGACATTTGGATTATTTTAAGTTTTCAAAGTCTATTATGAAGAATGTTAGGACATTTATAATATGAATACTTTTGTGTGAATAATGCTGAGGATCAAATGAAGGACCTGGTACTTTCTAGGCCAGTGTTTCACCTTTCTGTGCACAAGGTTTTGCATATATATGCAGTCACTTTTCTTAGTTGTGCAACTAAGAGTAGAATTACAGAATCATTTGGTAATTTTAACTTTAATATATCAGGAAACAGTTATGATAGGATGCTATATGTCCACCAGCAACAGATGAGGAGTATTTTGTCCTCAGAGTGTTTGCTAAATTGGCAGAGCAGGAGTCAATGTCTCTACTTCACATTTGAGAGTCTCCCAGTTCTATAAAGTGAGTGGTTGCCATGAGTTACGTAGCTGACATCGCGTGGGTTTGATCTCAGAAATATTTATTCAATATTGAGGTTTCTTATAATTTATTAATCTAGGTTCACATTTACAAATGAGGAAAGTAGTCAGGTACCAGTTGCCCAGGCTGATGGCAGAACTGGGATGAGATTCTCAGTCTGCTGATTGGAACCCAAGTTGCTTCCCACCCCTCAGCTCTGCCTCTTGAAGTGGAACCTGGTCCCTTTGGATGCAGTGCTCATTCTACTGTCCTGTGCTGACTCCTTGAGTTAAGCTGTGGAGATAAGGTCTCTGTCCATGAAGCACTGAAAATGCACATATGATATGGGGAAACCCTAAGAACTGAAAACTCCCCCAGCCCAGGCTCTCATTCCTTTTTACTAGTATTTATTGATTGACTCTTTCCCGTTTAGATATTGATGGCCCCAAAAACTTGGTGACAGACCAGGTGACAGAGACCACTCTCAGTGTCTCCTGGGACCCAGTGGAGGCTGACATCGATAGGTACATGGTGCGCTACACTTCTGCTGATGGAGAGACCAGGGAGGTTCCTGTGTCAAAGGAGAAGAGCAGAACTGTCCTGACAGGCCTGAGGCCAGGTGTGGAGTACAAGGTGGATGTGTGGGCCCAGAAGGGGACCCAGGACAGCAGGAAGGCCAACACCAAGGCCCCCACAGGTATGAATGTTGTAGTTTGAGGATGTAACCTATTTCATGGTAAGCCTTAAGAGGACACTTGCTGTTCCTTCTGTGGCCTTGGAAGAAACCAATGGTTGTAGAAGACCAGAGTGTCAGGCTTTTGTCATATCACCCACACCATCCATCCCTCCATGCTATTTAAAACATTAATTCAAAATATGGACCTCATATCCTCCTCTTCATTTGTCTCCTAAAGGTTAATGGTGATTGGCACATTTACCCACTGTTTATCAAAATGTGTATTTCCTTTGTGGTCAGTTTCTTTTTTGAAAAGAAAAAAGTATTTCTAGGATCTGTGAGTTATATACTTTATTGAAATGAACGGCTTTTGCTGTGCTCACTTTGGGTCAGGGGAGGGCACTGCTTTCTTAGAAAATAAACTCTCTTGAGTACTGTGTTTTCTACTCTGAAGATCTTGTGACTAAATATATACAAGAATAGTTGATAATTCTAAGGCTTTTCCATCTGTGTTTCCTCTTCAACAAGATCTGCCTTCCCAAGATGTGTTTTCACACTAAAATTCATCCTCTTGAGGAGTCCAGTTCAGGGGATTTAGCAAATTCTTGACATATTCACAGAACTGAACAACTACTACTACTGTTTCAGTGACTTCATCAGCAAGAAGAGCCTCATATCCATCACCAGCAACTTCCCATCCTCTTTCCCTTAAGTGACAAATGCTGTCTGTCTCTATAGGTTTCTCTGTTCTAGACATCTCTCTTTAAATAAAAGTATATTTTTGTTTCATAATTCATACAATGTATTTTGATCATTCCCACTCCCCCCCCCCCAACTCATTCCAGATGCAACCACCACTCCCCACCTCCTCCCAAGTTTGGGTTGTTGTCGCCTCCTCCTTTTTTATAATCCACCAAGTCCAATTTATACTGCCCACATACTCATGGGTATGGGGCCATTCATGGTTGACCTACCAGAAGCCACACCCTTAAGACCCTTTCCTAACACCCATCAATTGTCAATAACTCCTCAACTGGGGATAGTGTTCCAAGAGTCCATTATCCATTCACAGTGGAATGTTTACTAGCTTCATGTTGTACATGTCTTATGTAGCTTTCACAGCTGCCAAGTTCATGATTATAGTGGTCTTGTCATGTCCAGAAGACAGTTTTTGTTCAGGTCCCCTCCATCTTCTGGCTCTTACAGCCTTTCTGTTCCTTCTTCCTCCATGGTTCCTAAGCCAGGGTGTATAAGATGTAGATGTCACATTTGTGGCTGAGCATTACATATGTATTTATTCTCTGTACTGTGACCAGTTGTGAGGTTTTTTGTTTTGTTTTTTGCATTGACTTCTACCCACTATACAAATAAACTATCTGAATAGGCTGAACATTTGTTATACATGGATTCATATATCATGTGGCCTTTAGTGGTTTGCCTTTTTTCACTAAATAGTATTATTTAGAATCTTCCACATTGTAGCATGGATCCATTCTTAATTTCATTACTGAATATTTCATGTATGGCTATATGACATTTTGTTTATTTATTTGTCATTTGTGAATATGTGAATTGTTTCCTTTTCTACTCTTGTACATATGTGTGCTTGTTTCTTTGAAAGACATATATGCCTAGGAGTAGAGTTGCTGGATCATTCTCTTATTTAGTTCTTTATTTTTCAGTATTCTATATATGACAGTATATTTCTATAGTGCTTATACCACTTTATCTATCCATTAGGAATAAATAAGGGCTTTCTTCCTCTCCTCCGAGGAATTTCTTGAGTTGTCCCTCCCCCCCCCCGTTTTATACTAAAAAAAAAAAAACCCTCAAGTACAACGAAATCTTTGATTGCTATAAGACATATTTATAGTTGATAAAAGTGGGATTTGATTCATGAAGTATTCACAGAATGTTGACCTACCTTATAACCTAGTTTAAGGTCCACATTTATGGAAGAGGAAACTGAAGCACACTCAGAGCAGCTGAGCTGTCCAAGGTCATAGCTGACTGATGGCAGAACTGGGCTGAGATTCTTTGTATACACACTATAACCTAGTGTATTTTCTGTCCTTCAGCTGCTCTTTCGGGGTTGGAACTAAAACATAACCCTTCTAACTCTGGATATGAGGGCCATTCCATTAGCCCCTGTGGCAAACTTTCTTGTTGGACTATCTTTGGGCCTCCAGTATGCAAATAATGACTCAAGACATTATTAATTATGAAAGTTTGGCTTTAGATTGGGCTTTCCCCCAATTAGTACTTATACCTTAATTACTATTTTCTGCCACATGGCTTGGTTACCTCTTCTTAGTATGGCACATCCAACTTCCTTTGAGAAATTGAGCACCTAGATTCCTCCTCTTCCTTTCTTCTCTTTTTCTGGAAGTCTTACCTATCTCTTCTGTGTAGCTATTGGCCATTTAGCTCATTATTAAACCAATCATAAGGTATCTTATGCAGTGTTATGTCCTTACAGTATAAACAAATATTTTACAAAAGTCCTGTTCTTTCCCTTGGAGAACCCAAGTGTCCAGTTGTCTCTATCTGTGAAAACTGAAAATACACATGAGATGGGTTATAAGAACAGGAAACTCAGCCTAAGCAAAATTGCTTCAAGTTTTGGTGTCTACTCTAGTGTATATTGACTAGTATTTTTCTTTTCAGATATTGATAGTCCCAAAAACCTGGTGACAGACCAGGTGACAGAGACCACTCTCAGTGTCTCCTGGGACCCAGTACAGGCTGACATTGACAGGTATGTGGTGCGCTACACTTCTGCTGATGGAGAATCCAAAGAATTTCTGATTGGGAAGGAACAGAGGAGCACAGTCCTGACGGGCCTGAGGCCAGGCATGGAGTACAAGGTTGAAGTGTGGGCCCAGAAAGGAGCCCGGGAGAGCAAGAAAGCCAATACCAAAGCTCACACAGGTAACACACAGCATAGTTTGGAGATATGACAGCCATGTCTTGACAAGTTTAGGAAAAGTTCAAGTTTTAATTTCTTCCTCACACACACAGACGGGTCTTGATTATTTTTGGAAGAGTAGGGTTATTTTTCCCATAATCAGCTTCACACACCATGCCTTACTTCCTCTCAACTAGCTTCCTTAGGTGTTAGATTCTCCAAACAGTCTCCAAACTGTCTGGCTGACTGTGTTTTCAGTCCCTCTTCCAGTTGCATGGTTCTTTTGCTAGAGATGCTGTTTATGGTTTCTTAGTGAAGGATGCCAGAAAATGAAAAAAAAACTAAATAAATTTTATTTTAAGATTCTATTTTTTTTTACATCTGCTGTCACAAGTAAAGGTTTTCTTTTCAATGTTCAAGTCATATTTTAATTATAAAACAAATTTGTTACTGTACATGATACGTCCTATGAGAGGTCTTCACTGTTATGCTAATGGACACAAACTTCAACCAGAGTCTTTGTATATTGCCTGTAGCATGCCTTGTATATAGAGCAAAGGCTTGCTTTGTCTTACTAAATAAATAAGAAATTAGTTTTGTCAGACTTCTCGTAGAATTCATACCCTAGATTTTCAGATTCTGGTGGGTTGGGGTTCTACTTGAATAGGGCAGCATTCTTGGGAAGAGATGTGCATGTATGAAGCAGAAATAAAAGACAAAAACAAATAGACAGCAAATGAACAAACCTCTACCAAAATGAGAGTGTATGAGAGAAAAGCACAGACAATGAAAGCTCTCACTAGTCAATATGGCTAGCAATTTCTGCACCCTGGGGCTGTTAATGGTTCATATTGATTTGTTGTGTTGCCATCATCATCATTATTTCGTGTGTGTGTGTGTGTGTGTGTGTGTGTGTGTGTGTGTGTGTGTGTGTGTGTGTATACATAGGCCATGGCACAAGTCAGAGGATAATTTTCTAGGACTAGTTTGCATTAGTTTGGGGTTCACACTCAGGCCGCCACACTTCTGTGCAAGCACCTTTACTGACTGAGCCATCTTGCTGATTTAGCAGCACATACTGACTAAGACTTTTCCATATAGACATTGACGGCCCCAAAAACCTGGTGACCAATCAGGTGACAGAAAATACAGCCACTATCTCCTGGGACCCGGTGCAGGCTGACATTGATAGGTACATGGTGCGCTACACATCTGCGGATGGAGAGACCAGGGAGATTCCAGTGAGGAAGGAGAAGAGCAGTACAGTCCTCACAGGCCTGAGACCCGGTGTGGAGTACACTGTCCATGTGTGGGCTCAGAAGGGGGCCCGGGAGAGCAAGAAGGCCAAAACCAAGGCCCCCACAGGTAATGAATGTTGTTCATTGGGTATGTCAACCTGCAGTAGAAGATCAAACATTCTTTTCCCTTTCTTACAATGATGTGAAGTAGGTGGTAAGAGATATACAAGCTGGATTAATATACAGAGATTCAGCTACTACTGCTGAATGATGTCACTGGTGTTTGGGGGTCTGTGACCTCAGATACTGGATTGTTTTAGGGGGGTACCTTATTCCATTTTCTCTGACATACAGAATGCCTGTCAGAGACAAGGTAAAATTGTAAATGACAAAAAGTTTCTCAGTTTATTGTTGTAGAGTTTGGAAAGTCCAAAACAAGAGTCCCGGTGTCTTGTGGCCTTTGTCCTGTATCATAACATACATAGACAAATGAACAGATGTAAGACAAAGATAAGGCTAAAAGGTCTTGAACTTAAGCCTAGACCTGAGCTAACTTTCCTGCTCCTCTGGAATGACATTAGTCCTTTCGTGAGAGCAGACCTAATCATAACCTAACCACCTCTCCTTTCGTGAGAGCAGACCTAATTATAACCTAACCACCTCTCAAAAGTTCTGCTTCTTAAAACCTTACTGAGGGTTTTGATATAAAAAAATTTCACAAAACTACCATTCACTTTTAAAGAGGAAAAAAAAATACTGCAATAGACCCACTGTTGAGAGGTCCTACTAATGCCTTGAAACTTTTTCCATAGCATATGTCCTTAACTGTTAATGTTTCCCAGCTACTGAATATTATCTGAAGTAATATAAAAGTTCTAAAATGATTGGACTAAGGAATTGTTTTGAGGTAAGCTTTCCATTAGAGTTGACCTAATAGAAACTGTATGTTATAAAGTTACAAGCATCACCCTGGGGAATGGGGGCCCTGTGTCCAGTATGCTGCTAACTTTTCATTGCTGTCTTTTAAGTATGGGGTCTAGGGATAGAGTGATGAACAACAACAATAACAAAAGTATGTTTTCTGCTCTCCTGACATCCAGTGGGAGAGGCAGGCAATAAAAAGGGGAACTTTATAACTGTAAATTATGATAAGCCCTGTGAAGGACATGAAAATGGTGTAGGCCTAGAGAAAGTTGGGTTGGAAGGCACAGTGTGAGTGAGCAGTCATAGGATATGCATTGTTACACACACCAAAGAATACCTAAGCAAGAATGCAGGTTATATAGAATAGTAGAGTGTAAGTGCTTAGGGTTAACATGGTAGCTTGCTCTGTGTAGGATCCAGGCTTCTTGGCTGTTGTTTATCAGTTACCTTAGGGAATTGTATTCATTTACTTGATAAGCATACATCTGTATTCCAGCCAATGGGAAAGGGCACTGGAAATGGCAGGGCATGACTTGAATATTGCACACATCAGTTTTCAGAATTCTCTCTCAGATCTAGGACATAGCACCAGGTCTCATTGCTAGGCAGTCTAGGTGATGAGGTCCTCAGATACACATGCTTAGCTTAGCTTTAACTCTTGTTAAATTGTTATCTAAAACAAAACAAACAAACAAAAAAACAGCCTAATATTATTAGTTAAATGTAAGTAAAATAAATTATTTTTTTTCAGTCAGACTAAACATATTTCACATCATCAGTAGCTACCAGACTAATGGCTATGTGTAGGGCAATATTGAGGGAAACTGGCCAATTCTGGCTTAAGTAAAAGCATATGTTAGCAGTCTAATCTGCAAAGAGAGTATTGAGCTAGACAAGAGTTAGGTACCATTGGAGCAAAAAGTGAAGGAGCAATTGTTCTGAGATGATGTGGGAAGGAGCAAAGTCATCAGGTTACACAGGAGCACATGGTGCCTGAAGGAATATATATCTATAGGACACGGTGAGAATAAGTTGAAGAAATGACAAAGGAAGAAATGGAAAGATCAGTAAAGAAGTTACTATTAAAATATGGGTGAGATAGTGATGGTTTGGACAAGGATGATGGCAATAGAAATAGAGAAAAGGGGCGGGCTGGCAATGTATTTTGGAGATATAAGCAATAGTATATGTTGATTGATAAGACATAGAATACAGAAAAAATAAGCAAAGTATAACTGTTTTGAACAACATGAAAGATTTCTATTTTTTTTTTTTTTTAGAAGATACTGTTTTGAGAAAGAAGGCCAAGAGATATTTGTTTCTTCAGGGAGGAAATTAAGACTTAAATATTTAAATTTGAGATACCAGTGAGATTCTTTTGCTAGGTAAATAGTTTGTTTCTTCATTAGTTCCACAGATATATACTTGGTGTGTGAGATGAGCCAGTGATTGTAGTGGCTATGCAATAGTACATACAAACCAGGGACTTACAATCGATCTCTTGTTCCACAAGGGTAGACAGTAAATATTTCAGGCCACAGACATGGTAGGATTATGGTAGTAAGAAATGGGAAGGGAGGGGAGAAGAGAGGAAGGGAAGGAGAAAGAGTGAGAGAGAAAGAGAGGGAGGGGAAGATAGTGAGAATGAGAGACATAAAATCCAATATTTAGATGTTACAAATATATGAGGATTGCAAGCAGAGTGGGAGAAGAGGTGTGGATGAACTTAAAAGAACATTGGAAAAGTGTGAAATTATGGAAGCTGAGAGTAGAGAGTGTTCCAGGAATGGAATGGATCTGTTCTGTAAAATGCTACTCAAAGGCTGAGTAAACTGAGGATGCCATGTCCATTAGAGAGTTGTCCATACAGAAACTTTTAGTGACCTATACTATCAGATTTGGTGCAGGACCATGCTGGAGTTGCAGCTTGAATGAGAAGTGAGTGATGGTGAGATATACCACTCCTCTGGTTTGTTGGTAGAGAGGTACAGGGAAATGGCATGGAATGTGGAGAGAGGGGAGATCCTGGAGCTTGATTTCCTGAGATTGATGGTGGGGAGGAAAATATTAGTGTTCAAGAGATGGAGAGAGGAAAAGAAGAAAGCCCTGGAGATGGTGGGAGACCTCAGAATTCAGAGCAGAGAGGTCTTGGTTTGAAAAGAAGAAATGGGCACCAGAGTCATTTCTCTTTTATAAGTCAAGGGGGCTGGAAGATAGTTGATGAAGCATAGTAGGTGCAATGGGAGAAAGCCTATAGGAGGTTGTTCCAACAATGGTTTCAGTGGCTTATCTTGTTCAGATTTTCATTGTGATGCTGGTGATACTGGAAGGACAGAATGCTTTCAGATTGATATATCTAGAGAAGATCTTGTTCCTTCTGTTGTAATATCTAGTGCCTCGTTTCCCTGAAAAATGGAAACTTGGAAGCTGGGGGACTCTTATAGGCATCTCTCTCTTTCTCTCTCTCTCTCTCTCTCTCTCTCTCTCTCTCTCTCTCTCTCTCTTTACTTATTTTTTGAAGTAGGTCCTCACCATGTATCCCTTGCTGTGCTCAAATGTGTAGTCTTCTTGTCTGTCTCTGAACTGTTAGGATTGCAGGAGTGAGCGCCATATCTGCTTTACTCCTGTGTTCATGAAAATTATACCACTATTAATGATAAAATTCTACCAGCAATAATTATACTGTTATTAGCTCTCTTGAATGGAGGAAAATAGGGGGTGGTGAAATGACTTCCCATGGTTCTAAAATCAGCTTTTTCTAAATCTTAAAAAAAGAAATTGACAGCCCCAAGAACTTGGTGACTAACCGAGTGACAGAGAATACAGCTACCATCTCCTGGGACCCAGTGCGAGCCACCATTGACAGGTACATGGTACGCTACACCTCTGCGGACGGAGAGACCAAGGAGATTCCAGTGTCAAAGGATCAAAGTAGCACTGTCCTGACAGGTCTGAAGCCAGGCATGGAATATACCATCCATGTGTGGGCCCAGAAGGGTGCCCGGGAGAGCAAAAAGGCTGACACTAAGGCCCTAACAGGTACTGTGATACTTCACTCTTGACAAGAGTGAGTCTTCCCTCTATAAATAGGTTGAGAAGGAGAGGAGTGATTGCTTTATATGAAGATGTTTTCCAAAGTGGTTCCCCATTGACTTTATTTGGGTGTTTATGTGTTCACATGTTCAAGTGTATGTATGCATATATGCAGGTGCATGGAGGTCAGAGGTTGACATGGAGTGTCAGTTGCTCTGTACATTATTTTTTTTAGATGGTCTCTCTTTGATTTGGCTAGGGTGTCTGGTCAATAAATCTCAAGGAATCTGCCTGGCTCGACTGCCTCTACCCTGGCTTTTTCTATAGGTTGTAGGGATCTGAACTTAGATGCTCATGTGTGCATATGAAGTGCTTTACCCACTGAGCCCTTTCTTCAGCCTCAAAGTTATTTCTTTGACAGGTCAGGTAGGGTGGAGGGCACATGGTGCCATGGTTATGTAAGCTATTCTCCCTCAGGTCTGTCTGCTGAGCCCAGATGCCAGGATCTCTGTCCCTGCTTTTTACTAGAAATGGGGTTGGGTCTCAGTCCCTGCTGGGAGAAGAAAGAAGCATGGAGTTCTAGTTTCAATCTTCCGAGGTGGAAATGGGGGTGACGGTGGAGCATGCTCCTCTGTGTCACCATTTGTGGATGACCAAGGGTGCCTGGGTTGCATGTGAATGTGTAATGGAGCCTCTGGTAATAGATGGGCATTATTGAACTGGGCCTCTGTGGGACCCAAAGTCTGTGACCCCTTCAGGAATTCTAAACAAGGTCCATTTATCTCCTATATGGTTAGGAGAGTTTCCATACATTTCTTGATGGTTTTTATTAGTTAAAATTAGCTAGCATAAAAAAACCCACATTTACATATAGGAATGAAAAAATTCACATTAGAAAATATGTGTAAAACAACACTCAAAACAAACCCCAAATTACCTTTCCCCCTCATCCCAGTCTCTCTAGAATCCTGTGTGGCTCTCCAAAAGCAATGGATGGCTATTGTGTTCCTTCTTCATCTCCTCCATTACTGTCTTCCTCTCTCCCACTCATCCCCTCTTCCTCCTTTATCTTCTTTGCTTTCCTTTCCCCAATTTAAAACAATTAAATTCCACTTCTCTCTCTTTCCTCCCTCCTTCTCTCCTTCCCCCTTTCTCCCTCCTTCATTCCCTTCTTCCCTCCCCCTCCTCTCTCTCTTTCTGCATATGTATGTGTGGGCATGAGCATCCATGGCACATGTGGAAGTCAAAGAACAGCTTAGAGGAGCTGGTTCTCTCTTTCCTTTATGTAGGTTCTGGGATGGAACTCAGGTTGTCAGGCTTGGTGGCAAGCACCTGCTGGCAGAGACATTTTGCCAGCCTCATGTTTCCCAATTTTAAAGACAATAATGAAATTTTTTATATTCCTGCTTCATAGACATATGGAAGTAACCAAGTCAGACATTTCAAGTCCACAGCCAGGACAGTTGTTAATCAAAGAAGAGGAGGCAGAAACTACCTTAATATATTTAAATAGCTATGCCTGCTTTGATTCTGAAGGAAATTCAGTCTCTCTATGTGATGGATAAAGTATGATCCATGCCAGATGCTATGCTTTGGAAAATCAAACCAAGCTGATATTACAGAGACTCAAAATTTGTCAAAACAACCTAATTCAAAACAACTGTCTGATTTCTATTAAAATACTGCAATTCGGTTCTCAGCTGAAATGCTACTGGGGAGAAAATAGCCTGGAGATGGCTTTTTGGGAAATTCTAAATTAAAATCACCTTTTATGATTTTTTTTTTCAAAATGGAAATTTCCATTCATATCTTGTTTGTTTAAAAAATATGAACATTCTAACCAGTTTTGGTTGGAATTAGTATTTTTGCTGAGATTTTTTTTTTCATGTACATGTTCACATACTTGTGCATGCCCTCTGGTACATGCTCACATACCTGTGCATGCCTTATGGTATGCTCACATACCTGTGCATAAATACCCATGTATGCCTACGTTACATACCAACATACCTGTGTATACCTTCTGGTACATGCTCACATACCTGTACATACCCTCTGGTATTTGAGTGAATAAGTCCATACAAGAAAAAGAAAATTTCAGTCTGTATCCTTCCTAGCTAACAGACTCTCACCTCTCTCTCTCTCTGAGACAATGCCTCACTCTACAGTCCAGGAAGGCCTCTGGTCTCAAACTCTCTGAAATCCTCCTGGTTCAGCCTTTTGAGTACTGGGATGACAGGTATGACCCAGTTTCTTTCTGTTTTAACATACAAACATTATCTCTTATTTTTGTACTGGGTACGTATTGACAGCCACACACTTAGATGATTTAAGAAATGGAATTTTGTATGTTTATACTATCTTAATTTTATCCTAAGTTCTTTTATACATTATGGTTCCTAATCTCTGCATGTAAGTTTTGGGGATTTTTCAGTGCTGGACAGGCACATCATCTTTTCATTGCCTCTGCAAACTTTCCTCAGAGTGATCTCTAGGATCTGTGTACAGGGCCCTTTCAAACCTGCAGTTCTCATCCTTCCAAATAACACAGGAAGCTCCACCACCTCTGAGAACCCATGTGCCAAATTACATTGTTCATATTTACCACTACTGGGGAAACAAAGCCCAGGGTTCCTCCCTCTACAGACTGCTCAAAGCCATAATCCTAAATCCTCTTGACTCCCACAGATCTGTACTTTTAGAAACAAAGGCTAGAAAAGCCCTGAGTGAGAACAGGACTACCAACTGTTTAAAGGTGGGGAGAGAAATGGGAAATACATAGAAAGAAAATAAAAACTGATACCTTAAAATTATGCATATCTTATGGACAATTATTACCTGACATCTCATTTACAGAAATTGACCCTCCCAAAAATCTTCGTCCATTTGGGGTAACACATTCTGGTGGGGTACTGACCTGGATGCCCCCCTCTGCTCAGATTGATGGCTACATTTTGACTTACCAGTTCCCAAATGGCACAGTGAAGGTATGAGGATTTCTTGTATTTCTCTTGGTGCCTTCTCTTCACAGCCTGCCTGTAGAACAAGTTGGCTTGACTTGTTGCTATCTCATTGCTAAGTGATGTTATTTGTGAATATTGTGTTCTCATCACAAGGACTAATCTCTGTGCCTGCTTCTAGCTGGCTACTACACATGTGCTGGCTGTGCATAGACCCCATTTTATCATTCACTTGTTCATCGATTGTTTTGCAGTTCCAAAACTCAGGATGTGCATACTAGGCATGCTCTATATCACTAAGCTCTACTGTCAGTTCTGATATTGCTATTTCCTCCTCCTCCTGCACCTCCCCCTCCTTCTCCTGCACCTCCCCCTCCTCCTCCTGTACCTCCCCCTCCTCCTGCACCTCCCCCTTCTCCTCCTGCATCTCCTCTTTCTCCCCCTGTCTCTCCTCCCCCTGCTGCTCTTCTTGCTCTTTTTCCTTCTCTCCCTGCCCCTCCTCCCCTTCTATAAATTGTTGGGTCTGCTTAATACATTTCAGTTCCAGGAGTACTGAGACCTTTTTGCCTATTTTGTTTATTTTTGTATCTAAAGCATTTAGGATAGGGCTTAGCATACAGTTGGTGTAAATATATTGTTTCATTTTATTTTTGGTGATGGTGAGGATTGAACTCAGGGCCTGTATACGTTAGGCAAGTGCTCTACCTCTGAACTATGTCCCTAGCTGTTTTTAATATTTTTGTTTTGAGATGAGGTCTCACTAAATTGCCATGGCTGACTTTAAATTTGAACTCAATTCTGCTTCAGTCTTGAAAGCAGCTAAGATCAGAGGTGTTTGTCAATTCCTGGCCACAAATAAATATTCACTGAATAAATAGATAACTATTATTCCAAGGGCTAGCCTTTTTCAAGAATAGCTAAGTCCAGCAAATTTCCAAATTTGGCCAATAGAAAATTGTCATTATCTCTCTTTGGCAATAAATAAACAGATACAGAAGAAATAAGAAGTAAAAAAAAAAAAAAAAGGGGACATGAATTTATTCATTATTACAATGGATGCATCTGACCTGATTGCGTTAGTCCATGGTTTATAGAGTGAGTAAGACATATTCAGAAGGATTTCTTGAAATACCAACTACTTCTGTGTCTCACAGATATGATGGCCAGTTTTGCCTTCTCTTTTAAAGCATGTTCTTAGTCCAGCATTGTCAAACTGATGCTGATAGCCCTGGCTATAGTCAGTGTCTCAACAAGTATCTGAAGGCACAAATCCCTAGGCAACCTAGCTGGTTCTCCGGTGGTGGCCATGGCCTTGGCTCTCAGCTAGCCCTTCTAGCAGGGCTGATTTTCCATGCATGGCCCTGCTAGCGACTCCATGGAATTCTGGGCTGCCACTGAGCATTTGGAGAGCTTAGTAAATGTTGGTAAATGCTGTTGATGGCCAGGGTGCTAGGAAGAGAAACCGGATCACCCATTGTCTGTTACCTCCTTTGTTTGCAGGAAGTGCAGCTTCAAAGAGGCCAGCAGAGGTTTGAATTGCAAGACCTGGAGCAGGGTGTCACCTACCCTATTTCTCTGGTTGCCTTTAAGGGTGATCGCTGGAGCCGAAGTGTATCCACCACCCTTTCTACAGGTAATGTGAAATCCAGCCTTTAAAATGACAATAAATAGAGGCAGGCATTGGAGAGGCCTGGGAGAAACATGGAGTTATGGAGAAATAAAAGTAGGGTTATGGATTTCAAACAAATACACCCCATAGTGAAGGGACAAAAGAGGACAAAACTGAGTATTATACCTGGGAGAGTTAACCTAGGGCATCTAGTGACACAAAGCTAACTTAAAGGTGCATTTGCAGAATTGATGGGAACAGAGTGGGTGAGAAAACTAATATATGAGCTAAGAATTGGAAGAAGCAAAGTAGTGTAGGATGCTTTCTGAACAAAGTAAATTATCTTGTAATGGGGAAAGCTTTGTTGTCTTCTCTTCCTCCCTTCCCTTCTAATGACACTGTCCTTCTGCTTGGTCTCAGTGGACGCCCGTTTTCCACACCCCTCAGACTGCAGCCAGGTTCAGCAGAACGCCAATGCTGCCAGTGGCCTCTACACAATCTACCTAAATGGTGATGCCAGCCGGCCCATGCAGGTGTACTGTGACATGGACACCGATGGAGGCGGTTGGATTGTGAGTCCTAATGGTGCCCAGCTGAGTTCCATGGAATATCTTATTTCTTAACCTAGGGAGATGTTCACAGCTGCCCCATGGAACTTCTCTTTCTTCCCTATCTGTGGGGAAGAAGCTTGCAGTTGTTTGGAGAAAGATCTTATCCCATTATAAGGATAGAATTTAGGGCTTAATACTGGTCACAGAAACAGACTTGGCTAAAAGAAGGCTAATGATTCTGAGTTTATTGACATCTAATAATGCCAGGTATGTATGCTATTCCTATATTCTATCCTCTTCAAAGCACTTTAAACACCTAGAGCTTCTCATTATGCTTTAGTGTGAGAGGATTATTACTATTGTTTTACAAAAAGGGAAGCTGAGACGAATGGAGAAAGACCTTTGTTTGAGTTGGTCACACATGTCAGTGACATTACTGGAACCACATTCCAGGAGTCATGTCTGCTAGATCCTTGGTCTTTCTGATGGCTCATCTTACATCAACCAATATGTCAATTCCATGGCCTCTTTGATGGATCAGTCCTCTGAATGGGGACCTGGTCTGGGGTCTAGACTTCGGCTCTATAGGACAGAAACACCATTCTAGGGTTTTGAATTGAAAGGTGGAGTCCAGAGTCAGGGAAGTCTGGTCTGTGTCTGGCTGTCCCCTTCTATTGGGAAGTCTTATTCTCTTGGGCCATTGTCTGCTTACACTATCCCACTTCTATCATTGCTTGCTGATTCAGTTCTATGATGAACCTTTGAAGATTGCAGGTGGATCATTTCTCTCCCTCACTTGACTCCTCCCTGTGTCTGAACTGATGGAGGCTCTTATTTTCTCAAATGATAGGCAGCCTTCACCTGCTGTGCATTGCCACCCATTGTGGGAAAGAGAAAGCCTGGTATCATAGTGCCCAACTGTGTTCATTTACACATTTGCCCAGGGCTCTTGAGGAGGCACAGGTGAAATGATATCATCTGATGGGCAGCGATGAAGCAAACTTAATATCTGCTCAGTGGCAAAGAATAGTTGAAAGTCCATTTTATCCAGCAATTGGTTGGATGGCAGAAATGCTCTATTTAGAAAATAACACAACGGATTGTAACATGGGTGGTCCCCCACCTGAGCAGACCCATGGGGCTGTGCCTGCTGCTTTTCATTAGCACCATTGTAACTCTAAGCATCAGTCACTGTGCCTACAGCTCAATTTCCTGCCATTGTGCCTATAATTGGCCATTGGCAGGATGTCTGCACTGTTTAGTGTGGCCTTTTTGAAAGCCAAGCTTATGTAGAGGAGGAATCATTTATCTAAGGCAGCTGAGAGATGGAGACAGAGATGGAGATAGAGATAGATAGAGATTTGTCTCTCTGCTTGTACAACTCATGATGCATTAAATATTTAGTACCTACTATGTGTCAGACACTGTTTCATATACTAACGACCCAGCAGTGAACAAGCCAGGTGGATGCCTGCCTTCAAGGACCTTACCTCCTGTGTACCCAAGCAAAGGAGCCTGACTCAAACCCAGTCTATTATAAGACCACTGAATTCACTCAGCCCATTCTGTGTTTTACTTGGTTCAAGGGTCTTCTATCCCTGAAAGATGACCCAGGCTTCTTTTGAGCTTTTAAAATCCTTTTATGGAAGTTGTTCTCTGTCTCAGGCAGCAGGAACCTAATTCAATGAACTGGCAGAAGGACTTTGCCCCGAGGCAACCCAGGCTGCCAGGAAGAGGCTGGAAAGAACATCAGGGAACACTTAAAAGTCTCCAATCTTTCCGTCTTGGAAGTCTAGGGCTGCATCAGAGGCTATTTCCACAGACATTTAAATGTAATCTTGACTTTCCTGATTTAGTCATTCAAGACAGTAACATCTCCAGAACAAGGGTAATGCTGGATTGTAGAACCCTCTTAAGATATTTTCCCACCTCTTAAGACTTATTTCCTTTTACTATTCTTACATAGTTCATTACAGAGCATTTTAATCCATGAATTGACTGAAAGCCTCAATCAAAGCCTTCTGATCAAGATGTATAAATTATCTTTGTGGTCAGCACACTTAAATATGATACAATAAAATGCAAACTAACAATCATTGAGATATAATAACAACTTATCGTTATCTGTTTGTTCCAGATTCTGCTATTTCATGATTTGCTGACCTTACTGAAGCCTCCATTTAAGCTCTTAGGTGATAGCGGCTAGTTATACCTTGATTGACAGTTTAGAGAAATGAAGCTTGGGCTGTGGTTGTGGCTCAGTTGGTAAAGTGACTGCCTAGCATGTATACAGACTGGGGCTGTTCTCTGGCACCACGGAAAACTGGATGTGCTGGTTCATGACTGTAATGCTAGCACATGTGAGGCAGAGGATTAGAAGTTCAAGATCATCCCTGGCTACATGTGAGTTTGAGACCAGCCTGGGCTACATCAAGACCTTGTATTTTGGGGGACAAAAATGAAACTAGCTAACTTAAGCATGGAATTAGCCAGCTTAGCCAAGGATACATCTAGGAAGTGTGGAGATTCCAGAATCAGCTTTCCTGAACGTACTGGGCCATTATTTAAAACAAAACAAAACAAAAAATCCCAAACCCCAAACATGCTCATTGATTAGAATTAGAGACATTGTTAATGCATCTGTCCTCAGAAGAGCAGGCTCAGAAACAATTTCAGCCTTGGAGTGGGAATGTTAGTGACACAATGGATAAACACATAGGAAATTGTCAGGACCACATCCCAGTGTAGGATTCAGTTGTCTGTGATACAAGCAGAATCTGAGAATGGGGTTCACAAGTCTTCCAAGTGCTTCTCTTGCTACCTGGGAAATAGACATGGGAGGGCTAGATTTCCAAATGTTCCCACTAAAAGGTAGGACTGTGTGCTGTCCCTGTTTGAGTCACCAAATGGTTGTGTGATATGGCTAATTTTCTGAGCTTTGCCATCTCAGAGCCAACACTCAATAGATGTCCAGTAAATGTGTTGTAAAAGTAGGTGAATGAAGAATGAAGTCCCCCTTTCCCCCTCAAAAAAGGAGGGGAATGTTTAATGAATGGGAAACTGAGAAAAGCAGATCAAGAACAGCTGTGTTGATTAACAGTGTTAATACTGTGTGTAATGGCTTGCTGTAAATCCTGCTTAAATTCTGCTCATCAACTCATTCCATTCATAGGGCTTTTTTTTTTTTTTTTGGTAGGGCACATACCATCTCATCTAGTTTTCCCAGAAATGGTGTGGTAGACTTTCCTTTCCCTCTTTAATCTCTGCTTTACAGTGAGCTGGCTGAGATCAGAAACCAAAATGACTGACTCACTATCCCCTTGCCAGGAAGTGTCTGTGGCTAACTTGGAGCCTGGAACATTCTCTTCCCATGGGTGTCTTTGTTCAGCACCTCCTAGGCCACAAAGCTGCACTGTGCTTCAGAGGGAGTTAATGTGAGCGCCCCTGTGGGACTTCAGCAGGGTCAGGGTTCTGCCCTTTCTCACTCCTCCTAGGGAAAGACATGAGGATCATACAACCACTAGGCTTATATTACCAAATTTAGGATCACAGATAGTATTTTGTGTTGGGAACGTCTTCATTTAGATGAGTACAAGGAAAAATATGTAGAGATACAGTACTAGTCTTTGGTAAGTGGTTTCTAATCATTACTGAGTGGGCTAGGATGGCTTTTAGCTTGGCTCTCAAGTTCAAGTGGAATAATATGCATTGCCATTTTCAAAACTGTGTGCAGTGTGTTTGGGTTTAGTGACTTTTCAAGTTTATTTCATATTAAGGAGCCTGAGTTACTCCAAGGGGAACTGACCTTCCTTTTCCAAATAGAGATCTTTTTGTAAAGAAAGCAACCCATTTGTCTGAAGTAGAACCCAGATCACTCCATTTTCTCATTTCCCATTCACTGCTCAGCCCATCCCTGCCTGGCTTCTTGTCTCTCTAACACACCACTTGCTGAAGTAGCTGGTGATTTTCATGTCTCTAAATCCCAGGGAGTTTTGATCTTACACTCCTTCACCTCCCATTAGTATTGGACACTATTGCCATTATTTCTCTTTGTGGCTTCTGTGTAGGTTTGGCAGTCACCACTCAGAGTGGTGACTCAGTGGTTCAGGTTACTTTCATTTTGTGGCTAGGACATTTAAATATGTGGCTTCTACCATGGCACATGGCAATGGAAGACAGCCTGGGGAACTCTTATCCTCTAACAAGTCTTTTGGGTAGAAATAGTCACATTGCTCTTATTAAGTGGAAAGAAAGCTGGAAAATGTCCTCTGTTTTTGGGATAAGAAAATGAAATGACTTGGTGAATTCCTACAATTTTCCCCACATACACCCTCACCTTAGAAATCAAGCCCACGTTTCTCTTTAGTATCCTAATCCCTTCAACTGAATACATGAGACCTTTCTTCACCAGGAAACCTCAGAAAGAATTCATACTGGACCAGGGATGTAGCCCAGTGGTAGATTGCTTGCCTAGCACACACAAGATCCTAGGGTTGATTGCTAGTACAGCTAAAAAGAAAGGAAAACAAAGAAACCCCAACTCCCACAGTGTCCCCAAATGAGCTTATGATATACTTGCAAAAGTTGTCTCTCTCAGAATCCCCCTTCTGCAAGAACAGCTGAGTAATACTTACCGATTCTGCAATCAAAACTCCTATAGAACAGGAGTGCTGCAGTGGGTTGGGTAGTTTATCAAGTCCTAAAAGCATGGACTGGAATTTCAATAACCAATCAGCTCTCAATATTGGCTCTCTTCTTTCTGTTCCACACTGTGACTGTCACCACATCTGTCAAGCTGACCTCTGCCGACTTCTGTCTGTTCTCAGGGTAGCTTCTTGTCTGAGTGGTCTCCAGATTGGTCATCTTTCTTCCACTCTTGCCACTGGCTGGCCTCTTCTCTACACTGTAGCCAGAAGGATTTGGAGAAGATCCCATTTCCTGCTTAGAATCCTGCAAAATTACCACTGCTTTTTTACATTGGGTCAATATCTTCAACTAAATTGAATCCCATCACAGTTGGCCTTTTCCATATTCCAACTTCCTCTCCCATTCCTTCTTAATGAGCACCAAGTATCACCAATGGTCCAGCCTTCCTTTCTGTTCCTGATGCTCTTGCTTACCCTGCAGGCCTCAGCTACTTCCCATGGGAGAGTTCTTGGCTCTTGTGTAGGTGCAGTCCCTCTGTATCTTTCCCTCATAGCTCTTATCATGGATTTAAAGGAATTCTCCTTCATTTGATTTTTTATTTCACATCTCTCTTATTTACCAGACTGTTTGATCCATTTGGACAGGAACCATTTCTGTTTTATTTATTTTGTTTATCTCCTTGCATGGTTTCAACTATATAGTAAATACTCAATAAATATTTGTTTGTTGGATGGAATTCTGTTGTTTCATAAATACTAAATACTTGCTATGTTAGGATTCTCATGAATTAAAACAAATACCACTTTCAAACTATTTAAGTGGAAGATAAAAGACAGCATATATTCCTTCAATTGACTCAAACACTTAAAAGTTATATGTCAAAGACTGAAAAAATCTGGAATGTTCTGTCCTATACAACCAACTACTAGTAATATTATATTACTGATTCTCCCAAGTTTTTTTGTGCTCTATGATTGAAATTTCTTGAGGGCAGGAATGTTTCCTGTTAGCTACTACACATTTTCATACCTGGAATGCATATATCACCTAAAAGTCTTATGTAATAGACAATATAGTCAATATACTGGGATATATAAATTTGTTTCTAAAACATGAAGATGTGCCACTTTAGGAAATCAGTGTATGTGCAAGTTCATAGTTTCCTCTTGCCTCACAGAACCACATGGAAAACACAACTACCATTTCCCAGCCCTTTGGTTATGTCTGTTCAATAGCAAAGTATTAATTTCCTTTCTAGGTCTTCCAGAGGCGGAATACTGGGCAGCTGGACTTCTTCAAGCGTTGGCGGAGTTATGTAGAAGGTTTTGGGGACCCCATGAAGGAGTTCTGGCTTGGTATGATCTCTGAGAATTAGGAAGGTGGGGTTGTGAGACAATAACATCCCTCTTGATGGTCTGCTCAGGCTGTTTAAGAATGCTACCCATTTTCAAGGAGAGCACCAAGGGATAGGGGCACTGTGTGATATGGCCATGCCATTGGGAGGGCTCTTGCACACTAGGGACAGGTGAAGAGATAGGATGTTTGCAAGGAGCTTTTATGCCATGGCTAAGGTCTACAGAACATTTCCTCCAGAGCCTGCATTTCATATAGCCACAGTAGAAAGACAGTCAGTTGCTTTGGATCCTGGGCTCTTGTTAAGACGATGTGCTAGTAGATCTTCTGGTTCTGCTAGTGCAGCCAGATATAAAGGACATTCATTTTGCCCATTTTCCCTCTGCTCTCTTTTGGAGCAGATGTTTATAGAGTTAAATAGCCAATAAAACATCTACTGGGAAATACAGAATTAAAAAGATTGAATCTGGGTATTCAGTGTCTAATAGAGTAGTTGATGTTTGCGGTTTTCTTGGTACAGTCTCCTTTGAGTTCTGAGGATGAGTAGCTGATCTGTTCCACTTGTGAGATGTGTGGATAGAAAGAAGGTCTGTTTCTGCTTTAGAGAGGTGAATCCTTTTCTACACGATAGCATTCCATGAAGTCATTGCCATGCCAAAGAAATAGTGGAATGGGAATTTTAGCACCCCTGGAGAAAAGTGTTGGGAAAGCCCTTTGTTAACAGAGAAGATAAATACTAAGACCTTTAGCTCTAAATGTCTCAGATGCAGATAGTGAGAGCTTACACACATGAATTGATTGGTTATTAGAATGCCATCCATGTTTTTAGGACTTGATAAACTACACAATCTCACCACTGGCACTCCTACTCGATATGAGGTGAGGGCAGACTTACAGACGGTCAATGAATCGGCCTATGCCGTATATGATTTCTTCCAAGTGGCGTCCAGCAAAGAGCGGTACAAGCTGTCAGTCGGGAAGTACAGAGGCACAGCAGGTAAGAGGTTTTTCCCTCTCTCGTGTCATCTAAGGATTGGTTTGCCATGTGCCATGGATGTGGGTTGTGGGATATTGGTATGTAGCGATTGGTTGTCCTCACTGACAATGAAGGTCATGCTCTCTGAAGGTGTTTGAGGGGAAAGGAAGTCAAAACATTCTTTAACAATAAAACCAGAAAGTTTGTATGTTCCATCCCCCAGACCCTTCTTCTATGCCCCACTGCCCCACCGGTTACGCTGCTGTACATTAACCTTTTTGAGCAATTTAATTTCATTCTGCCTTCCAATGGACTTCCACAAACAGTGTGACTGTTAGGTTTGTCTGTATTACTATCTCTCTCTCTGTGTGTGTATGTGTGTGTGTGTGTGTGTGTGTGTGTGTGTGTGTGTGTGTGTGTTATTTCAACATTTTGACATTTTGTGGTATTTTGCTGTAAATTAAAACAGAAAAATGAAAGTGCTGAGTCAAGCAGTAAGAACTTTAGGTCCCATTAGCTTACACAACAGGGGCAACCTAAGAATGAGCAGTTTAGCCAAAAGTATGGATTCTTTCAGCTTCAGTTAGCTGGCCATTGGATTTGGGCCAGTGGGTGGCATATTCAGTTCTATAGGGAAAGGAACACAATTAAGTAGCATGACTGAAAAGCTGGGATTATATTGACAAATGTTTTAAGAGATGGTGTGGTTTTGGTTGTCACTTTAATACCAATATTTTAAAAATTATATTTATGCCTTTTAAACAAAGTCTGTCCTCTGCCTTTTGCCTGATTCTGACTTTGGTATAACCACATAGGAATGTATTACCAGCCAAATTGGCTGACTGTATAGGATATAGTCTCTACTCTCTAAAGCACATGGGAAGAGGAGAATAAAAGCACAAAGTCACTTTTGCAGACCAAGTCACTTTTGCAGGAGTGGAGATGGTGGGGCCATCAAGGGCCTGAGTGGTTGGGGGAAGCTTCCTGTAGGACAGGGGAGTGAGGTGGGCTCTGACAGAAGGCTAAACACAGAAGGAGAAAAGAAAGGGGCTCACCATATCTGGGGGAGCCTAGGAGGGATAGAGGACTAAGCCAAGGCAAGGGGATTGCTGTGTACTCCAGAAGACTTATAGGGCATCTTAAGAGTGTGTCCTCAAGGGTCTCTGAGGTCTGGGGTCATGATCTGGAGTGGTCAACTATGAATGGAAAATTTCTTTGAGTTCTATAATTTCATTTCTTAAAGCAATAATATAAATTTTGTTTTTGTATCTTAGGTATCTTAGTATATAGAATCAAGCCAGGTACAGAGTTGATTAGTTTTTTAAAAAGGAAACTTCTAGTAGGATTTCTCTATCTACTCTCATAAGTGTTTAACATATTATAGGAATAGACCCTGAGTCTGATGACACAGTAGTGTGGGAGCAAATGGGAACTTATCACCATGGAGTTTGCTCTTGGTTAAGTTTGAATTGTCCATGGATTCTAAGTGGTGATTGAATGGGAAAGAGTGTGCAAACAATTGTTCCTGGGAGAAAAAAATTCCATAGAAAGGCACTACAGCTAAAAAGGCCCACTCTGCTTTGACTCACCCCTTCCTTCCTCAGGCAATCTCCATTTTTCTGGGCTAAAGATGGGCTGCACTGCGTGCACTCTAAGTGGAATATAAAACATGGGAGTCAGTTCTGGAAGGCAGGCTATTGGGAAAGTGAGTTGAAGGAGTCAACATATTCTAAACTAATTGGCTGTCCCCTGAGTGCATTATTTGCATTTTAACTCTGACTGGGGATATCCGTTCTACAGCTACACAAGCCAACAAGGCCAGTCAGCAAGGATTTTTTTTTTTCTTTCTTTTAATTCGAAGAGGAAAAGGCAGCTCAGATACAACTGGGAAACACACATGGACCTTTGTTCATATAATTATCAAGCTAGTTACAGAATGATTTAAATGATCATAATAATTATTATTTTTAAGACAGGCTCTTTTTGTGTATCCCAGGCTAGCATATACCTTTGCTGTTTGAGTGCTGGGATTAATGCATATACCATCACACATGGTGATTATAATAATTTAATAGTAATATAATTTAAATTTACTGTCATTGAGGACTGAGCCCATTATATAACTCTTACCTCATCTCTAAATAGGGTCAGACTGAATTCCTAATGGCTTTACTTGCATGTCTGCATGCGATAATGGAGGACTTGTAAGTCTTCAGAGGCCTGTGTGGGTTTCCTCCTGCTCTGGTCAGTCTCCTGTAGTCTCTCTGGCTATCCTTCAAACTTCAGCTATACTTAGCCTTTCCTGCTCAGGTTAGTGTCTCAGCTTTTACATACCCTGTTCCTGAGATCTCCTGGTCAAGTTTTAAAGTCTGGTGCTTCTCTTTGATGCCCCTACCTTCCCATCTCCCCCAAACCTGGCACCCTTCCTGGTCTCTTGGTTGGGACTTCACTCAGATCCATCTTTTCAGTTTGTCCCCTGTTTCCCTTTCCTTTCTTGGATCATTAAACTTTGCCTTTTTTGAGCCTGGTTAACATAATCCAGCAAATGAGCTGATGCTAATGGGTGGGGGAGTCAACATACTTTTAAATTAATCTGATTCTCCTCCCAGGTACCCTGTTTGCATTTTAACTGTGACTAGGGGATAATTCCCATTCTAAGATTGTTCAGGCCAATGGGGCCAGTCAGTGGAAGATGTCTTTTTAAATAGGAAGCCTTGGGAGACTCTCAAATCACATAGCATTCTAGTCTTCCTGGGTGTGCCATCACTTTTACCTTTCTGTTCTGAATTACGACGCTGTGTTCACTGGCGTTTTAGCCTTCCTGCATATGCTTCTTGGTTTGGGTGAGGGTTTTAAAATCTAGGAAGCTTCTGGCTACTCATGCCATAAATGATAAGGCAGGGTGTAGAGGACAGGCGGTCAGGTCTTGCTCTCTCTCTGTGTATGACCTATCCCTGTGTAGCTTCATTGGTGCCTATATTGTAGCAGAGATGCACAGCCTTGGTGGAAAGGTGAGACTTCAAGCTTGTCCTCACTTCAGACTGTGTCCAACTGGGCTCATGGCTTCTGACTTCCACCAAAGTCATGTCTTATAGGTCTATTATTATTAATTACTATTGCAAAGAAAACTTCAGCGAGGCCACAGAATGCTTACTTAGTTTTTTATTCTTATGAGTCCTACCATTGAGATGCTGTTCATCTGAGATGCCTCAGAGTTTTCATTGGGCTAGTCATCTACTTACAGCCTGTTTCATGTCCCTTTTGTATGGGGCTTACTCATGCTGGGGTGGTTAAGGGAAGGGTTCACCTCCTGGGGACACTTGGGAATGTGATTGGGGATCTCTAATAGCACAAAGTGGTCCAGGAATGACAATGTCCATACAGATTTGTTTTAACCCAAAGCCAGTGTTTTCTATATTTTTTAATGAATTTTTTCCTTTTTTTGATGATTTTTAAATATAAATTTGCAACAAGCTTGTTTTACTTTTCATGTCAATCCCAGTTCATTCCTCCTCTCCTCCTCCTCTCCTCCCCTCTCCCCCTCCCAACTCCATCCTATCACCTCTCTTCTCCCCAGGGAGGGTGAGGACTGTCATGGGGCATCTTCAAAGTCTGTCATATCATTTTGAGGAGGGCCTAGGCCCTCCCCCATGTATCTAGGCTGAGGGAGTATCCCTCTTTGTGGAATAGGCTCCCAAAGTCCATTCATATACTAGGAATAAAAACTGATCCATTACCAGAGGCCCCATAGACTGCTCAGTCCTCCTAACTAACACCCACATTCAGGATGGGTCAGTCCTATGCTGGTTTCCCAGCTATCAGACTGGGGTCCATGAGCTCCCCCTTGTTCAGATCAGCAGTTTCTGTCGTTTTCTCCAGCCTGGTTTTGACCACTTTTCTCATTATTCCTCTCTCTGCAACTGGATTCCAGGAGTTAGGCTCAGTGTTTAGCTGTGGGTGTCTGCTTCTTTAAATGGATTTTTAAAAGGCTGGCATTTGAAAATGAAAGATAAAGTAATAGATTCTTGGAGAAAAGGAAAAGCTAGATGTTCACCACCACTATTTACTTGCTATCCCTAATCTCAGGGACAAAACATCAAGGTCTAGACTCACAACCCTGTGTCTGAATGTGACTAACAGGTGTATGATGTTTATGGCTTTTCCTGGTCTTAGGTCTTAGGTGATGGCTTCAGATCATTCTTCCTGTACTACAAAGTACTGGGGGAGGAGAGTGGGTCTTGGAATGATATTTTCATGGGATGGACAGTGACCAGCCTGGTGACCACACCCTGAGTGTGGGTTTAGACCTTTTGTGAATTTGCTATAACCCTTCCATCCCTACATAAGAAGAGCCAGTTTACCTCTAAAACCAGTGGAATAGGGCCCTTAGACTAGTGATTATCAGCAGTTTCTCCTAATACTAATATGAGGGACTCTAGGCATCATTGGCTTACTACTTTTTAAATTTATTATTTTTGAACTGATTTGTAGTTCGGGCTGTCTCAAACCTGCCTTTGCCTCCAGAGTTTTGAGGTTAAGGAGTTTCCATCACACCCAGATTATCTTGGTTTTGCTTAGGAAGATAAACTAATTGAATCATAATACTCCCTCAGCCAGGGCCAGTTATTTTCCGATTCATGAGCATACTCATTTTCTACACTCTGGACAAGAGGGTGACTTCAGTTTCTTGAAGGTAGAAATATCCATATGCAGAAATGAAAAAAAAATCCATACAGACTGAAGACTCTTGCTTTTTTCTAGTCCAGGGTCCAATGTTAGATAACTGAAGATATCTTCCAGATATCACTAGTCTGGATTCATGGAAAAGAAGCTCTGGGAACTCATATTCCAACCAGGAAAGCTGTGCTTATTAAAATAATATTACAAGGGGAGCCATTGTGTGTTACTTCAAGCTGTAGTTAATTATCTGCAGGAACTGAAGGGAGGAGGAAACATGCACAAATAAAGTGACAGCCTGTCTTTCTTTGACTGGAAGAAACCCGTGGAGGCCTGGCCATTTGGTGTCAGAGAAGCAGCCTCCCTAGTTCTGTTCTTATAGCTCCTGCCTTTGCTGGGTGAGACATGAAGGGACCGCTATTGAGTTTATAGATTCGGAAGGACAAATTGGGACTTTCCCTTAGCAGAAGGAGCTATTCACTTTTTAAGGGACAAGGAATGCTGAAGATTGAACTGAGAGGCCATTGAACTCTCTAAGTATACATTACCTTTGTGCCCATGTCCCCTGCCCTTGTGAACTCTTTCCACATTGACTCTAACTTACCCCAACTGAGTTCTCAAGAACAAGAAACTCCTTTGCTTTGTATCCCGGAGCCTAGCATGGGGCTTACCCACTGTAGGCGATGCATATGTCCTCTGAATAAGTGTGTGGATGAAGCTGCAGCTGTGCCAGGACCATGAAGGGTCATTGAAGCACAGATGGCCTGCTTTCGCCCTGTGTGAGCCTGAGAATTTGCATTTTTAGTAGGTTCTCAGGTGACATCTGTCCTTTAGGTCTTGGGAACTCTCTCCAGAACCATTATTGAAGGCTGTCAGAGATAGACTACATTTACTAGTAGGAATGAAGCCCTCTGTGGGAGTGAGGGGGACTCCCAGTTGAACCTGTGTTTCAGAAAGAATCATTGTCTTAGAATCTGAGAACCAGCAGTTGAGTCTTGGCACTAATCCCCAGGTGTTTATTTCCTTTTGGGATCCAGAAGGGTCTTGCCTACCTTGTAGGCCTGTGAGAGTCACAGCAATTAGATGTAAATGTGACTGTCATTGTTGCAGGAGGGGAACTTGATTAAGCCTGTGATTGATATGGGCTCTTATTGCATTTTATGAGCTGAAAAAGAAAGCAAACTTATAAATGGATGACAAATGTGATAGGGAAATAGGTGCAGTCTGAGGGAAGTAATTAAAGCAGATCCCAGACAGGATGTGATGAAGCATTAAATTGTACATACACCCCCCAGAAGGGCTCTAGAAGTTCAGGTGATTTGTGTGTGTGTATGTGTGTGTGTCTAGAAGGTGGATCAATGAGGAGAATCTTCCCCAGTAGTAGAGTTGAACTGGGCTTTAAGGGAGGTTAGGGTTTGACTAATGAAGGGCAGAGGGCAAATGGGCCTGTTTGCTTCATTAGTAGAGACAATGGAATTGGAGGTTACCCATAGGAGACATCTCAGTGGTAAACCTGCACAGGGAGGAGGGTGAATGATCTCTGTGGGAGAAGGTAGGATGGTAGGCTTGAGACAGTGGAATGGGTATTTCCACAGGGGCTGGGAGATGGAGAGAAAGAGGGAAGGTTGTTGGTGGAGCACAGTTTTCTAAGGTGAAAAGAGGCCTGGATGGCAGCTGTGTAGAGGTAGGGAGGGTGATTTGAGAAAACAGGGCTAGATCAAAGATGTGAAAGGCTTATCAAGCAAGGTGTATGCATTTTGGGTCTGCCAGTAGGGAGCATGGTTACCATGGTAAAGAGAGTGTACTCTCGAGGCATGAGTGGTTGGTTAGACACTTGATGTGATGGTAGAACTTCCAAGTGATATGACTGCTGAAGCTGATGGAGAAACAGGCCTGGTGTTTGAGTGACAGACCAGCGAGGACAACTTGTTCATCTCTCTACATCATGTTCTCAAGTTAGTTAGTAAGCCATTCTGAGAAAGCTGTCACTACCTGTGATGTACAACTGGGTCCTCATTTTCCTGCCTAGATATTTCCTGCTGTGACAACTTTATACATGGCTCTTACCCCCCCCCCCATTTTGGAGGTGTGAGAACAAGTTTTAATGCTACATCCATCATCAAGGTAGTGTCCATCAATACAGAGACTCCCCACTGGCGATGCAGGCTTCCTCAGCATTCCACCCCCTCAGCATCCTCCACAGGGCTAAGCTGTCTCTGAGGCAGCAGGCTGTGACACCTGAGAGGCTTGTGGCAGGGGGTAGGGGTGGGGAAGAGTGGTGTGAGGAGGGTGGGGTGGCATGGCTGCCTAATCATCCTTCTTAGATTTTCATTGATGTAAGGCACCTAGTCCAGGATCAGCCTCCAGTCCATGGCCATACTAGCACCACAGCACCCATGGTGCCCCACATGGTGGCTATGGGGATCCAGTTCTTGGCCAGTTCTTGGTAGTGTGGGCCTACAAACCTGCTCAGCATCCCCCCCAAGCTCTCAACACTCAGGGTTGTCCTGTTCCACTGTGCTGCCCTGGAACACTGCCTACCTTCTTATCTCTCCTGCAGGGGATGCCCTTACCTACCACAATGGATGGAAATTCACAACTTTTGACAGAGACAATGATATTGCCCTCAGCAACTGTGCACTGACACATCATGGTGGCTGGTGGTATAAGAACTGTCATTTGGCCAACCCTAATGGCAAATATGGGGAGACCAAGCATAGTGAGGTAAGTGACAGGTGCACACCTTTTTATCACAAGCTTTGTCTGTACTCTCAAAGCAACTCTGTCCAAGCTAGTATAGTACACACCCCGCCTCCGGCCTCTGAAGCTTTCAGTAAGGGAAGGAAAATGTGGTCCAGGCTTCATGATATACCAGATGACAGATACTTTGTGGTCTGCATTGTACTACCATACACTTTCTGAGCTGCACGTGGGTGGTTTGCTATTGTCCACATATGAAGACCAATGATGCTGGTCACTTGCCATCTAACTTCATCTTAAGTTTCTTTTGTAATATTTATGGGACAGGGTGGGTCTCATCTAGCCCAGGATGACCTTACACTGGCCTTGTACCTGAGAATAACCATAAACCATGACCCTCCTGCCTCTACCTTGTAAATTCTGGGATTATAGGCATTTGTCACTACATCTGCCTAAAGTTTTGTTGTTCATTTGTTTCACAGGCTCTTGCTATTTAGCCTAGGCTGGCCTTGGACTCTAAATCCTCCTTCCTTAGCCTCCTGAGGGCTGGGATCACAGGTGTGTGCCACCATACCTAGCTATGAGGGTATTTTAGTAATTCACTAAAAGACCCTGTTATAGATTAGGTTACTTTAACAAGGTACCACAGGTTAGGTGGTTTAAAAACAGATATGCACCTGGTGGCTTTAATCCCAGTATCGGAGGTAGAGGCAGGCAGATCTCTGTGAGTTCAAGACCAGCCTGGTCTACAAAGCAAGTTCCAGGACAGCCAGAGCTATTTCACAGAGAAACTCTGTCTGGAAAAACAAACACGTCAAAAGAAAGAAGAAAGAAAACAGACACACATACCTCAGTTCTAGAGGCTGCCTAATCCAAGATTCGAGTGCCAGCATATTCATTCTTGATGGAGCCTTGCTTCTTAACATGGAAATAGACACCTTCTAGCTATATCTTCACGTGATACATACAGACACTCTAACCTCTTTATTTTCTATTGTGAGGGCATCTAAAAATGACCTTCCAGAAAGCTGCCTCTGAATATTACCAAATTGGGACAATAAAACTTCAACATACAGATGTTCTGTCCAAAAATGGACACTTCATTATCTTTCCCTCTTATCTCCTCATTACACCAGAGCCCTTTTCTCAGTCCCTTGATCACTAGGTGAACAGATTCCACTTTAGGTCAGACCCATCCTTGATTCCACTTTAACACGAGTCACCAAACATCTGTCTGCTGTGAGCATCCTGTTCTTGTCCCCCTTCAGGACTGTGTTCAAGGCTGGGTGTATGTAAGGGCTCCTCTCTTGCAAATTTTCCTGTCAGTACTTTCTGGCACCTCCATGATCCTTGTATATCACTGTGACTCTCTGCTGGCTGCAGGACATCTGCCAACCCCTCATGGCTTCTTGAAAATTGCACTTTCCTATACTTACCATCAATCTCCTGTAATCCATAGACCTGCCCTGGGTCTCTCATTTCCAACCAGGTCCTGATCCTGGCCTTCATGAACCCACCTCTCCCCAGAACTCACACATACCAATATTACTGTAAATATTAGTGCTTCTCAAATCCAGGTACATTTTATTACTTTGGTCCTTACCAGGCATCCAGGATTCCCAATCCTTATGTGATTTTTTTTTTCAAAGAGAAGAAATTTCCCCCCAGGACAATGAGGAGGGTTGGCCCATGCATTACAGTGGCAGCTTGTGGGCTGACCGGGGGAAGCCTATGATCAGAGATCAAATATCTGAAATGAGCAGCCAGCATGCCCTAAACCATCCCTGTATTTGCTAATAAAAGACATTCATCTGGTTAATGTGCTTTTCTTGGTCTGCAAGGCATTTAGCTTCTTGTTTATTATTTACCTCACAAATTAAAATACATAAAATTGGTCACTTGGGCCCTTTATTGGCCAGGTTGCAAGGTTATTAAGTGAATTAAATATTATTGTGCTCACTAGTCAAAAGACATAAAATGAAATTTAGTTTTCAGCAGGCCATTTGTTACCCTGGCGCTAATATCTAAACAGTTTAAATTGAAAATGATTTTACACAATTGGCTAATTAATATGTTTATTTTTGCCTTTTAGTTTATGGAAAGGAACAGAGTGAGGCAATAGCTGGTTTACTGATCTCTGCCTAGATTGACATCTTTGTCGTTCTTGTGCTCTGGCCTCTGCCCACATCCATCTTCCCACCATGGAGGCTTCCTTCTCCATCCATAAGCTTGTCAAATTCTAGGAGAAGGTGCATGACCTGGCCCTCCTATTTTGGCTCATAATGAGTGCCTACTCAAATGTCCTCTTCCTTCTCATTCAGAGAGAGATTGACTTCACTCGAAAGGATCCCCTCTACCATAAACCACCTTACTCTTCTCCAAGATACCTTTTCTTCAGTAGATTTGTTTTTGTTTGTTTGTTTGTTTGTTTTGTAGGGAGTGAACTGGGAACCATGGAAAGGACATGAGTTCTCCATCCCTTATGTGGAGCTGAAAATCCGTCCCTTTGGTTACAGTGGAAACCGTTTTTCAGGCAGAAAGAAGCGGTCCATAGGAGGAAAAGCAAGGATGTTCTGAAGGCCTGTTTGAGCTGTCTTCACAGGGTGGGGTGGGTGGTTGTGACTGGGAAGCTGAAGTTTGAGGGATGCACATAGCCCTAACTTCTTAGATTTCTGGATACTCACAATGCCAATGATGTCATCACACTTCAAGTTTTAGAGGTTCCTACCATGTCACCTGCATGTTTACCAGTCTCTACTGAGGGCCCAGAAAGTCAACAATGTTGTAATTGAACAATACATATGGACAGGACACAGTGTTGGAACCATGTGGCTTTTCAGTCCATCCTTAATGACAAATGTATTGGATTAGGCTGAAAAAATATATCATCCAGTAGATCATCAACTGGAAATCTTTAGAAATTGGTGGAGATCTATATATGCATCTGATAATGTAGATCTTTCTAGAAGAAAAACCAAAAGTGAGGTCTTGATCTCTCAGTGGTCAGAGCTGAGGCAGCCTAAAACTTGTCACTGGTTTCCCCTGAGTTTGGAAGTCAAGTATAAGTCTTCCTTCTTTTGAATTTCTTGTGTGATGAAGAAGGGAGAGAGTACAGAGGGGCCATGATGCATTCATATTTAGCTAAGTTCTGACTGATCTCTAGCATGCTGGAGACCAAAACTCCCATTTTATTGCTATTTTTAACTGCCCCCTTTGCATAATCTCTTTCCTAGATCTGCATATGTTGTAAATAAATTTGCAGTCATTTCACCTTTAAATAATCTGTCTCTCTAAATAACTGGTACCACCCCCCAGTCTTCCTGGTTCCCATTCAGGCCTATTAGCCATCAGCCCCCCTCCATCCCTGCTCCCCACACTGGAAGCTCCCTGATCTCCTCCTTCTTGTGTGTCTGGTATCATTTTGGAAGGTTTTCTGTAGCCAAGTCAGTGACCATTGAAGTAACTTAAATTCTTATTCAGGAAAAAAAAAAAAAATAAACAAACCATTTGACTTTTCAAAATTGCCTTGTGTTATTTTCTTCACTTAAGTGCACTTGAATTCTAAATTTAACTTAAGTACAAGTGAAGGGACAATTTGAGCATTATACTAGAATGTGGTTGACTGTAGTCTTACTGTGTGATGAAAAATCATGCTCTGTGCAATGCAGCAGAAGTGTGTGGTGGGGAGGAAGGCAAATGTAGAAGCTGCACTACCCCTTCTGGTCTAGAGTGTACACTGTTGCTTAGCTTTCTCAGGTTTAACCTATGGGTCAGTTCGAAGCGACACACACCGGAAATCACTTTCTTTGGCCACGCTTTCAAGGTTTCAGTCTTCCCACCCCCTCCCCCGTAAGGCCACAGCAACAGCTAGATCTGATAATGAGAGGGCTAAACGAAGCTCACTAAGCACTGGGGCGAATCATTAAACAGGTGTGTGTGTTTTGTCCATTGATTGAAGAATCTAGTAAGTGGTGGCCTGCTAGGGAAACAGATGCACAAGTCACACCCAGTCCTGGTGCTGATGGAGCTCAGAGGCTGTCATTTATTCTTTGGCTCATTTATTCAACTCTTACTACTTAAATCTTATCCTGTACCAGGTTCTGTTCTAAGTGCCAAACCTATCCAAATAAACAAAGCATTCACAGACATACTTTGTTCTGCATAGTCTAGCCAAAGGCTGACAATAAGCAAATTATACTTTTATGCTAGTGGTGGCCATTAACAGCAAATAACAAATCATCTCTAGTGTTAGAGACTGACAAAAAAAAAAAAAAAAAAAAAAAAAAAAAAAAACCAGTTTCCAACCTCAGGAAGTGATCACTACTGAAGGGAGCCACGGAGGTGGATAATGATGGAGGTGGATAGGGGTGGGGACTTTGAAGACATTCTCGTGCGTGGGGAGATATTTTCAGAACAGCCACTCCCTAACGCTCAAGCATTCAAATATATGAGCCTCTGGGGCCGTTCTTATTCAAACCACCACGGGTATAGGTTGGGGGGGTCTCCCGCCTCAGATGTTATGACTCATTAGAACTACGGCTAGCATTGGTGGCCTCTTTATGTAGCTCTGCTATGACAGCTGCCTTTGCTCTAGAGGTGGCTTTGATCGCACCAGATGGTGCCGTGTTCATCTCACATTCATTGACCCGAGGATTGTCCCACTGCTGGTCACTGAAGTGACCTGTGGGAGACTGGAGCTGTTTCAGCATCTTTTGCATAAATAACAAACTCCTATGTTACTATGGAGATATCTTTAGGCAACTGTGGTGGTTTGAAGAAAAATGGTCCCCAAGGGGAGTGGTACTAATAGGAGGCGTGGCTTGTAGGAGGTGTGGTCTTGAAGGACGAAGTGCGTGCATAACTACAGGGACGGGCTTTGAGGTCTCTTTTCCTCAAGCTTCATTCAGAGTGGCACACAGTGGCATCCTGTTGCCTGTGGGTCGAGATGTAGAACTCCCAGCTCCTCCAGCACCATGGCTGCCCCGGCATGCTGCCATGCCCTGCTCTGATTGTAATAGACTAAAACCTCTGAAATGGTAAGCCAGCCCCAATGAAATGTTTCCTGTGTAGGAATTGCTGTGGTCATGGTGTCTCTTCACAGCAATTGAAACCAAGACACTGACCTTCAAAGGGTCCGATGTGAGCAGGGAAGGAAATTTATTTTCAAACAATGTTTAGGAGTAGGCCACATCCCCACCCCCAACCTTCCTCCATGTTGCCCCTTGCTCTACCAAGGCCAGCCCAGCAGTTCATTCCAGTAACTGAATATGGGCCTATGAAATGGGTTTCTGGTAGATCTGCTTTTCAGAGAGGTTCACTCTTTTTAGAGCCAGGTTATGGATCCTCGAAGTTTTAAAGCTTAACGGGAGCCACCCCATGCTTCAGGATGACCCAAAGTGAACAAAGGCTCGAGGAGCAGGAATACCCTAGAAGCCAGGAGCAGAACATAGGCCAGGACATCTGTTCCACCTGTTTTGGTGAAGTTTCCAGAGTGTTGTCATTCTGCTCATGCACAAGAGATGAGCAAGCCAGCTGCTGCCCCTGATCAACTCTCAGAATGGTGAGAAGACAGCTTGGAAACTAATCAGGACAGTGGCGACTTAAGGGGAAAGTGAGGAGCTAGGGACGTGGTTGGCAGTCGTGTGTGTGTGTGTGTGTGTGTGTGTGTGTGTGTGTGTGCAATTCCACCAAAATTACCAGAGGAGCTTTAGAGAGCTAAGGTGATAGATAGCATCAAATCTAAAAAGACAGACACCTGGGAGAGTAAGGCTGTGACTGAGACAGGTCAAGCGGCTTCTCAGTGTGTGAGAAGCCCAGGGAACCAGCAGGAAGGACAGGCAGGGATTCATTGCTGCAACACTGTACTGTCTGTCAGTTCACATCGCCAGTCAGAGCCAGCGTGAGCTTTGATGTGTGTCCTTTTGCTCACTGCCCCTCCAGAGACTGAACTTCTCGGGTGAGTTCTGTGTACCTGAGCTTTTCAAAGTTCCCCAGGGGACTCTAACATGGACTCAGGTATGAGAGCCACTGTTCCCATGAAAGCATTTGGGAAGTGGGCAACGATCAGAGGTTTTGAAACCTTGAAGGGATGTGCCAGGCTAGTATCTAGGAAATACCAGTTCAGTGGAGAAGGCAACATAGTGGGGTTTTTGAGAACTATTTAAAAGTGTGTGTGTGTGTGTGTGTGTGTGTGTGTGTGTGTATGTGTGTATGTGTGTATGTGCATGTGTGCACACGTGTGTATGAACATGGGTAGGCATGCCTGTGTGGAGGACAGAGGTTTACCCTGCATCTCCCTTCATTACTTTCTACTTCACTCACTAAGACAGCGCTCTTTCTGAACCTAGACCTCACAGATTTGGCCAGTGTAGCCAGCCAGCTTGCTCTGCCTCGTGAGTGCATGAGTAAAGACTGACTTCAGGTGGGCTGCCACGTGGAACTGGCATTTACCTCAAGCCCTCACACCTGAGTAGCAATCGATTTATTCACTGAGCTATCTCCCCACTCTTCAGGTTATTTTTAATCGGCACATATTGATGGGTAAAGTGTGACACTTGAATATGCAAATACAATGTGATATGATCAGGTAAGTGTGGCTGACATATGCCTCACTTCAGACATTTATCATCTTTGTGTAGAGAAAACACAAAATCCTCTCTACTAGTTACTTTGAAATATACAGTTAGTCCTTGCCAGCCAGTCACTGCACTGTGAACATTGGAAGTCATTCCTCCTATCTGATGGCACCCTATGCCCTTAACCATCCACAAGGGTTGGGGCACAGGGAAAGGATGGAGACTCCCAGACCAGCTCACAGCTGCCTTAATAGTTCCAGGAAAGGTAATGATCCCTTTGGTCTGTGTTGGGGAAGAGAGCTGTAGAACCATCAGGATTTAGGGCAGACTGCCTTCAAAGCCTAGCTGGCAAACCAAGGAGCTTGGAACTACTTGTGTGTCATGGCTGCTTCCTCTGGAAACGTGTGGTGTTTATGTTTGGCAAGTGAGTTCAAACGCTGTTTTATAATTTAGAATTATCAGGAGTACTACAGGAGAGAGAGATGCAGAGGCAGAGAGAGGAGAGGAGAGACAGAGATTGAGGTTTTTTTTTTTTTTTTTAAAGAATTGTGATAAAGAAAAAAAAGCAGGTATGGGCTGTGCAAATCTAGAACATGCCGACAAGAAAGACAAGCAAAGAGCTAAAGAAAAAGAAAAGATGGTGAAAAGGTGTGGATGACACTTAGTTCCTACAAAATGCTGCACTTAAAAAAACAAAACAAAAACAAACAAACAAACAAACAAACAAACAAACAAACAAACAAACAAACAAAAACCTCGTCATAAGCCTTTCACCAGGGTCTTGGAAAGGATCAACAGTCAATGGGAGTCAATTGATATGGTTGGAGCCTGCCGCCAGGGGCAAGAGGCCTGCTATACCTAGCCTTGCCAGGAGATGGCAGTGTTGCATTACCAGGTGCCTCTCCATTTAAGTGAAAAGTTCTCCACACAGGGAAAGTTCTGGAGGGTTCTCCACTTTTTTTTTTTTTTTTTTTTTTTTTCCTTTTTGAGTGCCATTCTCAGGAGAGTTGACCAGTGGGGTCAGCATC